ATTCGATTCTACTCTTCTGCATATTATTATTATTAATATTTTATTTTTATTATTTCATTATTATTATTATTTTATTATTATTTCTTTATTATTATTATTATTTCTTTTAGTTTTTTCGTAAAACTTTCAATGGTTTATTCTGTGTTAATTTTTGAAGGCTGGTGATTGTGCGATTGCATAAGAACGATGAGTTATGTCGCTAATTAGATTCAGAATATATTATTTCAAAAATTTTCTCTCTGCTAACAATGAATAATAATTTCAAATCACATTTCAAGAAAGCTTGTTTAATGAAATTCTCTTAATTGAGATAGAAAATTTTAAAATTTAGTTAATTATCTAATAAATTAATTAAATTAAGTCAATCAAGTTGGCAAATTGAAGTGAGATGATGATTATAACCTAAGTAATATACTACTAAAAACATTATGAAAGGTCTGCAATTTATAATTTTATGCCCCATCAAATATACATTTTAAGAAGACACGGAAGCAACACGTTCGTAATTGCTCGTAAAAACAGAAAATAAAAATATTTGTATTTCACTGTGCTCGTCATATTTAACTCTGGCATTTCATGGCTTGCTTTTAACGGCAACGTCATGCCAAAGGAAAAATATTATTTGAAATGTTTGTTTGTGTGATTTTTTAAGATACATTCACATGTATATTTTTCATTTGATATTTGTATTATATTTTGTTTCGAATAAAGAATAAAAACTGATTAAAAAATATATTTAACATACAACCATACACAGGCAAATACACGTACCGTGTATACACACAAATACCTAAACCCTACACACACACACAAATGCATACAGGTTCTTACATACACACACATAAACACACACACACACACACACACACATAATAGTATATAATGTTTATGTATATGTTGACGTCATCCGTTACAAACAATTTTAAGTAAAAAATTTTTATAGAAATATTTTTCAACCAAAAAACTAATGTTTTTTTTTGTCATATTAGATTTCAAATCCAAATGGAAAAAATTATTTTACTGTATTATGTTATCAACATATTTTCAATCTATTTAGCTTTTATCTTTACGTTTTATAACCCACTACCATATCAAAAATTGATCTCTAGGTTTGGTTTTCAACTTGCACTAACCCTATAACCAGACCTCAGATGAGCCTCGCTGGCTATGGTACTGCCTCTGCCCTGGGCCTTTGAAATGGTTTAAATCATATCTTATAACATTCATTCACATGACACAAAAACAAAAGTTGGGATGTTAGACTAAATTAAATTACTTCAAGCCAGCTAGTTTAAATTTAGTGCTTCTTCCAAAAAACCTCCGCACACACACACACACACACACCATACAAACACACACACACCACACACACACACACACACACACACACACACACACTATTCAGACAGACAGGCGGACACACGTGCACGCACATGTTGTCACTTTCCATTGAGATCCAATTGAAATATTGTTTGGTACATACAGGGCTGGTCGAAGCATTAACCGAATTATTAACACATGTGGCCGTTAAGCTGCGATGAATTTCTATTTAGTGCTGTTTGTAGAGGTTGTCAGATGTTATTATAATTTAATCATTTTGAGTAATTTATTTTTACCAGATTTAATGAAGTTAAAATATAATTATTAAAATATAATTATTGCTATTGTTGTCTTTTATTTTATTATTACTACTAATACATTTACTTTATAATTGTAAATAATAAGTACCACGTGATGGCGTGCCAGCCAACATAACGTTTTTGTGAACTTTTCATTGGAAATAAACGAAATCATTCAATCATTTTCATTTAACCAGTATTTCATATTAAGCAATGCCTTTGTTTTATAAACAAAAAATATATAAAGAGCAAATAAATGAATAAATTAATTAATTAATGCAACATAAATTAATTAATTAATAAATATATACATTATAAAATTTTTGCAAAATGTTGAATGTATAAATAACTGCACACATTCATAAATCCAATTTCGTTGATTTCGCAGCAAACGGAATCATGTCAGATGTGTGTGGGAGATGTGACGTCACGATAAAATGACCGAGATGGCATAATTTCATTAGCGCTTAGCAGGTGTCGTATATTCATTTATTTTAAAAACGCAGCCACGTCTCGAGCCAAGGTGAATAACGTCAAACGTGAACATTAGTTAGGGACAGGCTTCTAATGAATGCTGCTTTTCTAATCTATTTTCTCCCATATATGTGATATCTTCTATGTGATATGTGAAAACTTCTAAAATAGTTTTAGTGGTGTTTGTGTTTTGTGTCGTGATGTAAGTGTGTAAGCTCGAGACTACATAGGCGTGTACGTATGTGCGTGCGTTCGCCCGTCAACATACGTGTATGTGTGTGTGTGTGTGTGTGTGTGTGTGTGTGTGTGTGTGTGTGTGTGTGTGTGTGTGTGTGTGTGTGTGTGTGTGTGTGAGTTTGTTTGCGAAACTTCACTTGAAAACTAGATTACGTACGGTTGTTATCCAGTCACAGGCAGGTGTTTAGTGACGAATGATATACTAAAAATTAGATAATTTATATATTAACGATGTATGAAATTAGATTGCATAAAATAAATTAATTAAAATGTAACGGACATTAACTTTTTATCTGTTTTATATTTGCCTAACATCACTGGAATGCTTGGCATAGGCTAAAGAGGGATGGAGTTGATAAGAATCAGTGTTCACTCATTTAAAATTCATCCAGTGTGACTGCAGTTTCCATATAATGCTTACTCTAATCTTAACTTTTTCTGTTTATGTGCGTGCATTTTTCTGTGTATGAATGTGTGCGTGTGTGTTCTCATAGAAGGTTTGTGTATGTCTGTTTGTCTGTCTGTGTGTTTGTGTGTGAGAGTCGTTATTTGAATGATAACCAAAAAATTAAATAGTTTCAATAAGTTTTTGATTATAAATTTCTTCCTGGCTTGAAGCGGAAGCAATAGCCTCCTTACTCATTCTGTATACGCCTTTAGTTGGTTCAGATTAATGAGATTTCGAATTAATCCATGACAGGCGTTCAATGTAATTAATTCACATCCACGTTAATGATGTTTCGAGACAGCTTTTAAAAACCTGCAAAAAGTTTCATGCAAATCTGGATTTCTGTGTGAATGAGGCCTTTTCAATTTTACATAAGCAATGAGTTTACATAAGCTTGAGTTAATGAGAGAATGATGTGGGTAGAACTGAACTATCAGTAAAACAAATAGTTTCAGACAAAATGATGATTTACCGATCAGTGCGGTCCGAGATGGAATAAATCAACTTGAAGGTAAGTGAGTTGATTTGAAATGTCACACGAGAAGCTGCCTCGGGGCATTGCAGATTTAATTTAAACGATGCCCTCACCTAAGGTCACACCTTGCTAATGAATGTACCAACGATCAGTTTTCCATATACACAGATTTCGTTATGTGATGCCTGTTTTTTATTTAAAACATTTTGAAATTTTATTCACAATTTCCATTTATTCTTCATTTTCTTTTATACAGGTAAGTTCGTTGAACTGGATGACATCTTTGATTATGGAATTGTAATAGGTATATTGAATATAGGTAGTAGGGCATGTGTTGTTTTACGTTTTGTAGTAGAATTTGAATAAGAAATGTTAGAGATTGCATTGATTTCCATTTGTGATTGTGTAGGTGATTTGATTTATTTTACTCTTTAAAAAGTTTATCCATATTGCATCATTTTGGCATCGTGATCTAGTTACAGCCTAATAATTAGCATGGACAAGTTGTAAGCTTATTGGCTGTTCACTTATGTTCAGATGTGAACAGCAGTTCCATTAAATTGTACAAAACGACTTACAATATTTAATTCATATAAAACGCCAGACCGCAAATAACGTGATAACGAAAAGAATATTCCTGGAAAAACATCGAAGCATGCCATAACATGAGATAGAGTAGTTTCAGTGACATTCGAGAAGAACTCCTTCTTCATTAATACGACATTTGCTTTTCTGCTTTGTTTATGAATGAATTCGATTATTAAATTCCGTACCAACCTCTTTCTAAAAAATTTTATCTTATTTTCTCCTATTTTTTCATTCACATTATCCGTCAGTAACCATTTTTGTGAAATTACTTTTTTGAATATTAAACCTTTCCGTCCTTTCGTCTTCATGTTATTTTAGAGAACTGTCATTTATGTAACAGATACATTCACGCAATTCTTAATAGCGTTATTAAGCACCTTAATTAACTGACGCATGCATACTACAAACGCGAAAGTTAATAAAAATTTACCAACTAAAATCCAAACGTAGGCTGATCTCCATCTGACTTCATGAACCAGGAAAAATTTTTCAGCAGTAAAAAGTACAACTTGTAAGTTAAGTTTGCGAAACAATGGAATTCGCATCGCAAGGATATAAAATAAAAACATCAATAATATGACGATTTATTCGAGGTTAAACCATCGCACAGCTGCTTACAGGCGCCCGGAGCCAATATCCGCAAAGAAAAGTTTTGAGCCGTCTTTTGAAATTCGACAGACATACTTTTTCTGAGTTCCGGTGGCAGTTTATCCCAAACTTGTGGTGGTGCATGCCAAACAACCACGCGATTTTATAAGCGATGCGCGATTGTACCGAGAGCCAACGCAGTTCTTGGAGCTTTGTAGAGCATGAATACCCTGTCATGGTCATATTTTAAGCCGAAAACGAGTTTGAAAGCTTTATTCTTAGCTGACCAACTTCTCAAAAAAAGATTGAGAGAAGTGGTAATCAGCGAGTTGCAATGTGATTCTTGAGAATCCGACAGGGTAACGCGATGTCAACTTTTAGAAATGACTGGCGCGATAAATGACTCGTATGTGATAGCCGCATGAATTTACAATGCCCTATATACACATACTTGAAGAATGATTTGTCAATGCAGTTACTCACCTATTTCCAGAAACTAATAACTTTAACGGCCGTAAATTTTGTTCGCTAGTTTATAAATTCAAGAAAATAAAATAAGCCAAATTTTTGCAAATTTCATTTTTCGTATATATATATATATATATATATATATATATATATACTATGTATCAAATAGAATAAAAAAATATTTTTCTGGTTAAACAAAACAAACTGTCAACAAAAATTAAACGAATCTTAAATAAACGTATAGGAATAACATCATCCTGAGAAAACAAGTTTACGCAAAATGCAAGCTCAAAACAAATTCTTAATGAAAATAAATATAAATCATGCCATTTAAAATCAAAACTGAAATAAAACATTGAAATAATCTGGATTCCTTAGCCAGATTTTCGATATATAATTTAACTAAGTTAGAAAAAAAATTATGGAAAATACATCAAAATATTTAAATACGCAGAATAAGGCATATGGACATAAAATGATATGATAGTATATACAAATACGCACCAAGTTAAAATGATAAAAATTCATTCTGACTGCAATTTTTTAACTTTTCCCTTTATTTTGTAGCAGATTGATGACCGGTTACTCTTTTTTATTGTTGTCCTCATTGGTAGAGGATCTCACACGACCTCTACCCCCTGACGCAGATTTGGCCATTTCAAACTTGATGGCCTTGTCATTGATGTGCAAACCTTCTAATGCGACTAATGCATCTTCAGCGTCCTGCATGCTTTTGAAGTTGAGAAAGGCAAATCCTGAATATCCGCGCCACAAAATTCTCAACGGGTTGACTTTGCGCTCTCTCACCTCAGTCTTGAACTGGCTAACCCTCAAAAAGCGGGGCAGACTGCCAGCATATATGGATCCTTCATATGCACTGAAAACTGGTTTCTTGTATCTGTTGTTGCGACTCCTTTCTTCATTAGAGCTGTCGGCTCGTTTCTCGCTACTGCTGTTGCGAGTTCGTCTGCGATTTGAGCTATCATCATCTGTCTGACCATCGCTGCCCAAACTGTTATCAGTGAACTTTTTTTGGAAGCGCCTGTTGCGGTAGCTTCTGTAACGACCTCTGGTTGATCCACGTCCGTAATAACCCTTGCTGTCTCCGCGATCTTTTTTATCTTCATCACCAGTCGTCTCACCATCCTCTGCGTCTCTTCTTCTCATCGGACGCCTGTTCCTCTGATACACGCGCTTTCTTTCACGCAAGATCTCTTCTTCATCTAACACAACATCGACCAATTCAGTAGGATTTTCAGTTTCCCCTTCTAGTTTGACATCTTTACCCTCTTTCCAATCCCTGAAACGGATACGCCTCAAGACTGGAATATGATTCAGTTTGTCATCATTCATCAAATTCCACAGAATAGATGATGGCTTAGGCAAGTGACCTGTGCATTCAATGATTTGAGTTGGTGTGACAATGTAGTCAACTGGCAAATCATGCAATCCAAAAAGTGAGTCAGGCAAATCGAGAATCTGGCAGTCATGCACCATGGTGATGATGGGAACTTTCTGATTGACGACTCCCAATGAAGCCATCATGGCATACTCAAGATCTGACAGACCTCCACCTTTTCCTATTCTCCACCCTTTAAAATGTATTTCATAATAATTAGTTACAGGCTCGTCATTAGAGCTCCATCAAACGAAACTGCAAACATGAGAAAACTTTCAAATAATTAAGTGTAAGGTACCTTTTGTTGACACAGCAACACATCCAACAACAACCGCATCAACTTTGACCTTCTCATCAATATCTATGGCTTCGCTGTAATCTTTAATGCCCTGGCATAAACAAGTTAATCAAAATAATATATATATATATATATATATATATATATATATATATATATATATATATATATATATATATATTTACAATATTCTATAAATTCTACCGAATGTTTGGCGTTAATATGTTTGTAGTTCGTTTTTTCGATTTTTCTCACTAAAGTTTTTTGGTGAACGTTTAGTTTATTAAAATTCAAAATAAACTTATTTTTCGAATTCATGCTGCAAATAAGGCCATATTTCGATTCCAAATGAATCATCGTCAGTGCTCCTTGTAGAATTTATAGAATATTGTAAAAATTATTGTCTATTACCAACATATATATATATATATATATATATATAACATTACACAGAAAAGTTGAAGAACAGATAAATAAATAATGAATGAATTTATGAACAAGTGAATGAAGGAGTGAATGATTGGGCAAATGAATGAATGAAAGAATAAGTGAATGAATGAATGAATGAATGAATGAATGAATGAATGAATGAATGAATGAATGAATGAATGGTTTTCTAACCTGCCTGGCCGCACAACTTCTGAGCAGCTTCTGAGGACAGTCGGCAGGAGGTACAATCTTGCTGAAGACATGATTCTTCAGGGAAGGAGTTGGCACTAACAATGTCTTGCCAGCCTATCAGCATCAATAAAAACATTCAACATTTCTGTCAGTATTGAATACATTTCACAAACAAAAGTAACCAAATAAAAAATTATCTCAAATTTCTCTCTTTCTTTCTCACTCTCTTACATTTCAATATTATATAGTTAAAAGATGTAAATCATTGCATATCCCAGATGCATCATTCACACTTTGCATTTTAAATAACATTTGAAAATATAGTTATTTTAGATTAATGAAATAACATTCCTATAGCTTACAAACTCATTTACTTATAAACTCCTTATTAATTTTTTAACTAATTAATTTCTTCGTTTACAACTCTTGTTAACTCCTTGTTAAATTATTTTTAGCTTGTTAATTTTTTCTCCAAAATGTACCACACATAGTTAAAATTCACTAAAATTAAAATAAAACAAAAGATATGAAAGGTATAAAAGTACATAAGAGTCTTAAGAGTACATCTATTTTTAGAAACATAAATTTAACAAAAATTAAAACAAAAAAAGTTAAGAATTAATTGACAAAACAATCCCAATCTGTCTTGAAACTAAATTTTAAGAGCCAAGCACAATTTTTAAGCCAGTTTGGAAAGGAGTGCTAATACTTTGTAACTACTACGAGTTATAAAAAAAAACAATGTTCATAGTACAAAACAACAATACCAAAAAACATGATACACACCTTATGATACATAAAAATTTTGTTTCACAACATAAACCATTGATAGAGATAATACATTATATTTTTTCTTCAAAATGAAACAGTGTCTTGAAAAACCATGTAAGGAAATACCTCTAATGTTTTGAATCTGATCTCCTGCAATGGCCTATCCGGATCAATCCTTAAAATTTGGGCCTTCTTGAAGACATCCAATTCAGTTATTCTATCACAAGCCTCCTCTGACCCCTACATTCATAAAAATTCAATATGTTTCTAAATATTATTAAAAAAAAAAAAAAGTTTTAAAAAGGAGACCCTGAAATTTGAAATTCTTCTTCTAGGAATTTTAGGATGTGAAGCCAGGCCAGAGTCCTCGAGGTAGTCCCACACTTTGGACCTTAATATTGCCTTTGAGTCATCTAAATATAATTTTAAAAAACTTTTGTTTAATAAATAACAATATGAAAGTCAAAATGAAAAATCATAAAGAAGATTGAACTATCCATAATTTTGATCTAATCATTTTTTTTAATAACAAGAAACAAATATGAAACAATTTGCTTACTACATTTTAGAATATTATATTCACATAAAAAAAATGAACTAAACTTTTTAAACCCATTGAAAATTTTTTAAAAAAACTTTACTTTTAACTACTTACTAATATAAAAAATGTGTCCATAGAAATTAATTAATACACGTTGTGAATGTTGTGAAATTATAGAATAATCAACCAGGGACCAAATTGAAACTAAAAATTACTTTTAAATTTTAAATCTAATTCTTAATTTTTCACAAATATTTTATTTATAAAAAAATATTCTCAAGTAAACCTGGTGAGACATTCAACTTGGAAGCAGGCAGTTCATGGAGCTCTGGCATTCTGCTTTCTAAGCTGAATAAACAAAACGCAACACAAAATAAAGCAACATTATCTAACTAAACAAAAACCTTTAATAAATTTACTTTCATTTTTCTTTATAAATAAATTTTCATTAAAAAATGGACAATTTCATTTTAAAAGGGAAAAGCTTTTTCAAATATTTATAGCCGGCGAATAAAAACTTTGAATGAAGAAACTCAGTAAATAAAAAAGTTTACCAAATAAATATAAAATGAAACCTTCTCGTTCAAAAACTGAAAAACTCGGCACGACCCGACTTCCAAAATTTAATTACGCAACCGTCGTTTTAACTTATTTCCCTGACTGCTCATGTCCACAAATAGCCACAAATACTTTTGCGCTTCATTAATTTATGCACATTTGTTATGCAGGTGAAATTTCAATAATATCTTGTAATATCTGTTATCAAGTGTCATTAGATATATTAACAAAATAAAAATGTTTCTTAATAAATTATTACACAAATTAAATAAATGATTGTTTCGCGAAATAATCATTCAACGTTATTTTCATAATCTTCATTCGCCATTTCAACGTCGTGATCTTCTATTCTGTAAGTGTTGTTCTTCTCAATGTCGTCCAGTTCTTCAGCATGAGAGGCAAGGAGAACGTTGTGGGGATCGTTGCGAGCATGGCGAGTTTCATGGCCACTCCTTTCCTCGTGTTCCATATTTGAAGGTCTTCCCTTTCTGTGCCCTGTACTTTGGTGCTCTTTGTTGTATTCTATATCTTCCTGCAGATGTATCAAATCGATCAAATAGAAATATTAATATAAACAAATAAATATTGCGTTTTCAAGCCTTGTTAATATGAAACTACTATACTGGACTAACCATAACATCATCTGCATTCATCAGTTCGACGGGCATCTCCACCTTCGTCTGGTGATCTTCACGGATGACCTGCGCGTGTTTCGTCTCGCGACGCTGCTGCTTCGCTTTGAAGATCCCACCCTCATCTGCGTCAAATGCAAGCAGGTCGTTCCATCATTCATTTTAGTTGTAATGAAGTTGAACACATTTTTTAAGATGCTTGAATGCATGGCGAAACTTCAGATGTGGTGATGTAATTTTTTAATAATGATAATAATGATTGATTAATTATTGTGATTCTGAGATTGAATTTTTCATTTCAAACGTATCATTATTGTTCACCATTCTGTTGAGGGCATGTTAAGGCACAGCTTGTGAGTTATGCATGCTGGTCAATAAAATACAAACCGTTGTCGTAATCCACTTCTTTGGTAACAATACGTTGCTGCTTCTGCTGTTGTTGTTGTTGCTGCTGCTGCTGCTTTGATTTCTGCTTGAAGGACAAATTTCCTTCCGATTTGTACATTGGTTTTTGAGGTTTGTTTGATCTGGTGAAATGTAAAACGTGAAAGAAGTTGGTTCCCAATTGAAAGTTGATGGATTAATAATGTTGGTAGTTGGTTGGTAACCTGCTTGTCTTGATGGTGACATCTGACTGAGGACTGGATGCTTTCTTGCTGCCTGGTGAGATCCTGACGCTGCTGCTTCCACTTCCGCCATTCACGCTGTTCTCACTCGTGCCATTCTTGCTGTTGTAGAATATGCTGCCTTTTGATTGCTTCCTTCAAACATTACGTGTTAAATAGAAGGTGTGTTTGTGCGTCTGCAGATGCATATCATCCACTTAAATAACTAGCAGATGAATCAGATGCAAAATTTTGTGTTGTTCGAAATGAAATATAGACCAAAAATAATTTTTGATAAAACGAACTTGTATTTCTCGGTTGGCTGACTCTGCCACGACGCATTCCTGGTTGCGTTCCTGGCGGGAAACAAAACGGAAATTAAAAATTTTCATTGCGTATTGTAAATTACGTAAATGCAAATCAAACGAGTGATTTCGTTGCGATCCGATTATTTTTCACCTGTTGAAGTTTCAAAATCTGTTAAAATTAATGTTGTTTCAATAAGTAGTAATTGCTGTTGTTGGTACTGTTGCTGTTGTTGTTGTTGTTGGTATTGTTGTTGATTTTGTTATTGTTTGAAAACAATTGAGGTAAATAATTTTTGACGGTTTATCGTTTTAAAAATATATACATATAGATATATAAATGTAAATAAATCCTTCTTGTCACGATCGTAAGGTATCATCTTATAACCTGCTGCTTTTTACAACAAACAACGCATTAGTAAGCAGTAGCATTGTTACCTTTTACAGCAACCAGTCCAGAGGACATTTTCTGGATGTTAACTTTCATAAGATGTTTTGTCGCTTTAAAATTATTTTGTTTTGTGTATGTTCAATCGACCAAAAGATCTTTCAATTTTTTATTTCTCAATATTTTTCATTCCTTTGCTGAAGCATATGAGTACACACTGAGACTTCTTTATTACATACCCACCACACACTCCATTTTCACAGTACCGCTTTAACGAGATGCATTTAAAAATAGATTATAAATTGAAACTGCTACACGGCACAGTACAGCGTTCATATTTGGCTCTAAACACCAAAACTGCTTCCAATGGCAATTTTTTAAGAAGCCTTGTTAACATTCATTATTGGTTGATGTTTTCAGATAAATCTATAAAAGATTTGATTGATTTTACCGTTTGTTAGCACTATCGTCGTCATCATCCCTTTTATTGTCATCATTATTATTATCATCATCATTTGTTTTATCATTTGTCTGCTTTGGTCATCGTGTGCTCCATGTTCACGCTGTTTTTGATAACTCGGGCGGTGGTGTGTGATGTCATTTTTGTTATCCTTCCTATCACCATCATCATCGTCGTCGTTGTCATCATCACCATCTTTACCATTCATGTCATAATTTTCATCGAGTCGCCATCATAATCAGCATTACCATCTTTTTTACTCATCTGTCATAAACATCACCGACATCATCATTCACGTTCTAGAAGTTTCCTTTGTTGCAGAGGGTACAAATTCGAAATTGTCGCTTAGCAATCAGCAGGCAAACAAAAATTTTTATGCACCACCTTGCACGTACACATAGCAGTCTGTATGTACATCCAGCTTCCCTCAACGCCAATGTCATGAAACTATTGGTATATGGAATCATTTTTGTAACTTGCCATTCAAAATCGACAGTTACTTATGTCAGAACTGTCACATTGCTTATCGAACCTAAAAATTTATCGCAACAGAATTGGTTTTAATTAAAATTCGTAACATTCCTAGATTCGCATACCTTTAAAAATTAAATTAATCATTTGATCGTGCAGTAAGCTCGAAGCGTGGAGTCACAAAATTCACTTGAACAGCCTCCCCACTGTGAGTGACGATGAAAACGCCGCCTTACCCGCCCAAGCACATAAATGGGCAAAAACGTTTTCAGCGTTTACAATATCACATTAGACCTTTGTCTTCACATAACTGATCCATTAAAAACCAGTTTGAAAAAATATCAGTCCAGCCTCTGAACCAACTCACAATCTTTGCTTCGAAACATTACCTCTAGACAGGTACTAACAACTATGCGACCATCAGCCGGCAACCAGCACCACGCAAACATCCACTCGCCGTCACACTCCAATCTCTCGGTTATAAATTGAGACGATCTCTGCACTTGAACATGAGAGGTGGTTGCTGTTATGTAGTCTCCGCTGAACGAGCAACACGTGAACGTTCATGATAATAAGTGTGTGCGTGCATGTAGGATGGTACAAGTGTGTGTGTGCAATCAATTCGGGCAGTAAATCATGTTCGCAATTATACACTGAACTGTTACCGTATGAGTGTGTCATACCTAGTTTAATTAAAATTAATTGCTCAATTAACTATTATTTGGTTAAATTAAAACAATTGATTAACTTTTATTTTATTAAAATTATTTGTTTAATTAACTTTTATTTACAGAAATCTTAGCGACGATGAAGCGAGAAATTTTTCATCATTAAATTAAACTATTTGTTATGTCAGTCGATTCAAAATAAAAAAATTAACCTTAACAATGCCAGTTAATAATAATAAGAACGACAACAGCAATAGAAATGTCTTACGAACTGTTACATAGTAGAACTTGGAGTTGAATACACACACACACCACACACACACACTACACACACACACTAACACACACACACTAACACATTGATGGAGATCTAATGTTAACATGTTTCTCATACAATGGGACTTATCTAATGAAAACTCCGACGACAAGCTAAATATTACACATCGAAAGATTAATTACATTAATTAATTTATTGTTAGTTATTTCCTTTCCCTACTGCATTTTCTTTAACGATGTTATGAAAGAACTAAAGACGAATAATAACCTATTGAGAGGTACGTAGAAATGAGGTTTGACAACACTTCCGTAGTCCCCTTTCACAAATCCCTTCACTCCCACACCTACCGCCACGTAGTAGCCCCCCGGTTTCAATTGGTTGATGTTTGTGATCATGTGACCATCCAATGTGTATAAACTGGTTATCGGGAGTTGGAAGGAGTGGAGTACTTGTGTGTGTGTGTGTGTGTGTGTGTGTGTTAGTGTGTGTGTCGTGTGTGTGTGTGTGTTAGTGTGTGTGTGTAGTGTGTGTGTGTAGTGTGTGTGTGTGTGTGTGTCAGTGAGGTGGTGAAATCGCCTGTTTAAGAATGAGCGTTGAACATTTAACAAGACAATACATTATTAAATCGTGTATTTTGAAAAAGTGGAAATTTATGAAATCTGTGTAATGTTGCTTGAATGAAGCTGCTTACAAATTTTGGAAATCTTAATACCATAGTTTCATTTTAATCATTGAAATTTTTATAATGTTTATGAATATTAAAATATTTACAACTACGATCACGACGACATTTCACAAACACAACACAAACACAAACACTATACAAACACAAAACAAACACAACACTATACAAACACTATACAAACACAATACAAACACACACACAAACGCACAAACACAACACAAACACAAAAAAAACACAAACACAATACAAACACAACACAAACACTATACAAGCACACAAAAACAAACACAAAAACAACACAAACACAATACAAACACACACACAAACACTATACAAACACACAAACACAATACAACACACAAACACAACATAAACACAGCTCAAACACACACAAACACAACACAAACACACACAACTCAAACATAACACACACACAACTCAAACAAATCACAAACCCCAACAGAAACACACCTCCTAGCATCGAGATTCCTACTTTTCATTCTTATGTCTACCTCGTTGATGAGTGCTTCCAGCCTGTCCAATCCTTTCCAGGGCATGGTCACCCTCTGGGCAGGTCCAGCTGTATCTCCGTTGGCGTACACGCTGCGGCGCATTTCATATCAAGCAATCATTTCTTTTTGTACACAAACAGTGTACATTTATTATTTAAATTATTTATCTATGTCTGATGTCTTCAACCAACCAACCAACTGTTTGTTGTTTTAATGCAGTCTCAAATGTTTTCAACCAATTAATTATTTGCGGTTTTGAAATAATAAACCATTAAAGCCATTTATTAAGTAAACCAGAAACACGTATTTAGAGCTTGTAAGGTAACTAAAGTATCAACAATATTAAAAATTGTTCAGGCAAAATTAAATGTAAAAATTACTACAACAATATAATTGACAGATTTAAAATAAAGCATGTTAAATATTAATATGCTGAAAAATATAGAAACAACTAGATCATTGTTGAGAAACATTAAATAATAACAAAGTTATTAAATCGTCGTTAAATTTAAGAAGGAAAAAAAAGTATGTAACACAAAAGATTAAAGATTAAAAGAAGATATAGCTATTCTTAGTTTAATAACTAACTATCATGTTAAAATGTTGAGTATAATACAATTGTAAAACTTATAAATAATTCAAAAAGAAAAAAAGACTATAAATAAACGAGCAAAAACAATTGGTGATCTAATAACGACCAAACGTAGAAAAACAAATCACACGAAATAATAAATGTGAAACAAAGAGAAACAACGGAGAACATGAAGTAGCAGCAGTAGCAACAGCAGCCACAACAGCCGCAGCAGCACATTACTCACAAGATAGACATCGATCCAGTTTGCACATCCTTGATTCTTCCTGGAACGTTCATTTTGTTTTTCGCTATTTCCAGCTGTAAAAGTTTAAACAATTTTTACGTTAAATTTATTATGATTAATGACTATTAATGTTACTAACAATTTAATGAAAATTATTTCTGAACGTTATTTAAACGATATTAAACGTTAATTATTGATGTGCTCTGAATCATGGCCTGCATTATTTTACAAACACTTCCATATTTACCTGTTATTTTTTATTGATTTTGAAACATTTCAATTTTGCCCTCTCTTTTTTTGTCGTTGTTAACAAAATCTACGCCGTATTTTGCTGGTTATGAATTTGAAAATCTATAAAAATAACTAGCATTCATATAATAACACGGGCACGAAGATATGATATAGAACGACACGTGAGCAATGATCAAACGTACGTTTTGACTTTTGTATGTCATGTAACACACAATCCCACACACAAACACACACACCAACACACACACCAACACACACACACATCAACACACGTACATGATATATATATATATATATATATATATATATATATATATAAAGAAAATGAAAGAGGGGAAGAAAAAGAGAAAGAAAAAAGAAATGGAATAAGGATTTAAAAAGAGTTGATGAGTAGAAAGAGGTTATTCTCTTTTTTACACACTCAGTTAAAGTTGCATGGAATGAAAAAGTGTGCATGTTCGCACGCAACATTTCAACTGCCCTCTCCGAAGGTCTCAAGTTGGCACAGACACATCAACGCACGCAGCAAGCACTTGGAACGCCTCACCCTCATACTGAACATTAGATTAAAAAAAATTACAAATCATGAAGATGAAAGTAAATTGGAAAAAGTACATAAAACGGTTTACTGAGACTAATCCTTAAACTTTCAAATTTTTAATTATATTATAATTTTTGCTCATAAAAACAAAAAAATATTCGACCGGAACTAACGACATTCAGACAAAGTTACAGAGTACAGGCCAAATAAGCAGGGTAAACGAAATGAAGGCATCGGGTATGTAGCGTACGACGAATACACAAAAAATACCATGCGACGAATACACAAAGTACAGAAGAACAAATACAAAAAAAATCGATGAGGAATGAATGAACCTATCATCACCTGCTTGAAATGATTTATAAATTAACTACCTCTGCCAACTCACTCCCCTCCTCCAGTCGATCTTTCATAATATTTTGCAAGCAGTTGCGCAGATTCATTTATTTCTTCTGCTGTGGTTGATTTTGCGTTGTTGTTTGTGCGTTGTTGTTTATCTGTTCATATTGCGTGATAGCTATGGAGGTTTTGTTGTTTAACATATTTGTGGCTTTTTATTTTATTTCTTAGTTTTTTATTTTGTATTGTCGTTGTCGTCTCTTAATGTTACTGTCGTTCTTTTCATTTGTTTTTAACGTGTTGTCCTGTTTGTGTCAATGTGGAGTACATATTGCTTTGAATTGTGTTTGAAAAATTGCATTTAATGAGGTGTGTTAATGTTGAAATAAACACAATAGAACAGTCTACTGGCAATTCATGAGTGCATAAATGAAACGTTTTCACGGTAAGTGACAGCAGGTAAACTTATTGCAACAAGCAGGCAAGCCAAAGATTCATTTGTTCCCATTTAATCGTATTGTACTACCTGTTAGCTGTCTAGAACAGTCAAACAGAAATTCAAAACTGTCTATCAGAGGAGAAAAAATTTTTTATTGAGACTCCTTCATAAATAACAGCCTCAATAGACGTCTTGTCCTGTCTGTAAGTTAATCAAGCTGAGCCACTCATTAATTCTTCCGAAAGCAATTCATAATAAGTTACGCAAAAAATTTGAGCCCAACTTTGCTGTTGGCTCTTGTTCAAAACATTTATTTCTCGGTCATGGAAAATTTTTTGCTATTTTTTCTACTTTTTTCTTTGCGTGTACAACTGTACATTCACACATTTATTCATACAAAATAAAACCTCCATCTAAATAATTATTTGCACATCCAGCCGGCTAAGATGAACTAAAATGGACACATAACTATTCATCCATTCGTAAGATCTAAATATCCATGTGCTCATCGTTCATGCATATATTGACAACTCTCTTATTTATTTATTTATTTATTTATTTATCTATTTATCTATTTATCTATTTATCTATTTATCTATTTATCTATTTATCTATTTATCTATTTATCTATTTATCTATTTATCTATTTATCTATTTATCTATTTATCTATTTATCTATTTATCTATTTATCTATTTATCTATTTATCTATTTATCTATTTATCTATTTATCTATTTATCTATTTATCTATTTATCTATCTATTTATTTATTTATTTATTTAGTTAGTTATTTAGTTATTTATTTATTAAGGCATTCATTGAATGAAACATTAAAGCATGTCTCGACCTGCCATCCAATTGTACAGTAGGCCTATTTTTACTTAAGAGGTTTGAATGGTTCACCAGTCAGTGTCAACAAAGAAACGTAATGAAAATCTTCTTCTTATAGCATCAGATGAGGGGTAAACATAACAAATTAATTCAACAGCCCATGAGCAAAGGAAGATGTATTATACTAGAATTCTACCACCTAAGAATTTATATTGAATACCAAATAATAACATAACATATAATGAGACAATGTCTTAGCTAACTTTCATGCTGACACAGCAAAGAGGTTGCATAACGAAAACAAATATTTGCTTGCCGGAATGTGGATACGAAAAAAAAACAGGAAGTTGTATGTAATCTTGAGAAACCCTAAAGATACGTGCACGTGTGTTTATGTACGTGTGTGTATGTGTATGTATGTATTTATGTATATATGTACATGTGTGTGTGTGTATATATGTACGTGTGTGTGTATGTATGTATATGTGTATGTATTTATATGTGTATGTGTGTATGTATCTAAGCACGCGTGTGTGTGTATGTATGTATGTACGTGTGAGTGTATGTATATATGTACGTGTGTGTATTTATGTATACTTATTAGATATGACGTTGTATGAATATATATAAATATAAGCATAAATCGTAAGAATAAAAGTGATTTATACTGATTATAAACCCGACCTAATTAATATTTCAGAATGGACTCATCGCCATGAATATGTATTTATATAATGCATATACATATAATATGCACATATGTGTATTTATATACATACATTATATATATGTATATATATATATATTTATATATATATAATATATGTCTAAAATAAATAATTGGTAAACATTTCCTGGGAATATGGAGTTTATCGCCAGGCGATCCGTTATTCTTTGTAAACAATGGCAAGCATGAAAAAAAAATGTTTGCTCTACGAGTGAATTGATTTATGCATTTTAATTAATGCCTCATGTCGATTAACTTCATTTCGACCTTTACGCAATAAACGCGAATTGTGTTATGCGAACGTAAATATTATGACTTTTTATGGTTCATAAAAAGATTAATTGTTTTATAAAGACACGCGAGCGCCCACATTCACACGCATATTCTCACACATGTGTACTAAAGCTCATATGTATATATTCATAAATAATTCCATTACAACTTTCAGCTCAGCGTAAGTAAATGACCACAACTGGCCAGAGCTGAAGGTATGCGGGCTCGAATCTGGGAGGGTGCAGTTTTTTATGACTGACCACTCAAGCACTTGAGTACTTTCACATTCCAATGATCAGGCGGGCTGGCGTCCCAGTGTTTTATAATTAATTATAATATAAGAAAATAAACTTACATACATGTTGAAATATATCATAAAATATATTTATTATATACATAAATCTCGCAAATAATATCTCCAGTTTAGTAAATAAGTATTTGAATGAAATACGAATAAAATAAAAAAAGAACTTAAAATACCTCTTCAGCCAGCGTCAGAGCTTTTGGTTTGTGGAACGTCAATGGCTTTTTCTCTCTAAAATCTGTGTAACTGGCATGAGTGAAATAAAGTTCAGTCGGTTTATCACTTTAAATTTTTAGTTAAATCGTTCAGATGGCAAGAAATTGTTAAGCATTTGGGCTGGGACACATCGTAAGCACACGTACATTACTTACACGTGCGATCTGAAGTGACTGTACTTTTTAATTTATATCCATTGAAAAATTCTGAACTGAACTTATTATATTTTTATTTTTTATTATGGAGTAATTTGGTAAAAATGAAAAATGTGATATAAGCTCATCGATGACAACTTCATACATATCATATTGAAGATATACGTGTTTTTGGATGTTTCTTGAAAATATCAATGTCCAATCCTGGCATTCTTGTGGTCCAAGTTGCCGGGTAAGATACATCGACGTTTCCAGCTCCAGTACATAAACATGCAGTACTTTTAACGGACATCATATTGAAACTATCGTTTCTAAAACATCTCAAATGATCTCTTTAGAATTTCATCTAACTAACATTTTGATAAGACGCAAGAGTCTACTCACGATTTTGCACATAAAAAGCATAGTTCAGAAATTACTCCTTTTTTAACATTAAACGGATGGAGGTTCTTCAGTCAAAATTTGAGATCGAACTTGAGGCTACCAGCATCAACATCCACAGCCTTTTTTGAAATTTATTAAAGAATTGCTATAGATTTTATCGGCTTTTGGATTTTATAGAATTTAATAACAAACTCTTACAATGGTCGATTGGTGCAGGTAAAAAATTTCAAGCATTAAGGTACGCTGACCAGCCTAAAAATTTACCAACGCAATGCAACCTGTGCAGTTGGTGTGTACAGGTTGAAGAGAGAAAACTCTGTCATGTAATTTCTTAATAATAGTCTCGAATTCACAACCAAACGTTTGCTTGCTGCTTGTTCAGCGGCCAGCGTACTCCGAGTTTGAGTTAATGCTCGCCATTTTGTTCCATGCCATCCTTATCGTGCATGCCGTTCGCATCCCTTCAGCTGTTCACCTTTGAAAATCTTCTTCCACGGACTCATTCCTGGTAATTATTATTCATTCACCTACGTTCAATTTTTCCTTATTCCAGTTGTTCGCCCTCCGTTGGGTTCTGTTCGTCATGTTTTTTTTCGGTTGTCATCATTTAAGATTGTTTAATATATTTACGCGATCCGAATCTCGCAATTAAATTGTTCCTCGATCCTTGCAAACTAGATGCATGAGCTTTTATAAATAAAGACATTAATGAGACATGGAAAATATAAATTCAGTCTTTTCGAGATAAAGTGTATCACTTTTTCCCATCAGAACCAGGAAGTAATTTTATTAATAATATACATTAAACAACAACACACGGCGTGAACAGTAAGCAACGAGGAAACAAACTCACTTTAATTTTCTGAACGTTCCAGTCGTAACTGCAACGTAATCAAGTTTATCGGAGAGTTGATCCATGGAAGTGATGGCAGTGCCGTTGACGGGCGTGTGAATACTTCTGACGGCCACATTGCTGTCCAGCTGGTTGGTCACTTGCGCCAGGAAGGCGTCCCATGATTTGGTGGCTCTCTGGCTGATGACAATCTGCTTTCCCCCAAATGAGTCGTCCCCGTTCTTGAAGATTCTCAACCGTTTCGAGAAGTTTGCATTCACATGACTGTTGGTCATTGCTGCTTTTATTTGTTGCTCTGGCTGGTGTTTTATCTTTTAAGGTTGTTAATTAGTGTTGTTATGTTGAAAAGTTGCGAGGTTTTGTTGATGTTATTTTTGTTAAATATGAAAAGCAAGAATTTAATTTTAAGGTTTGTTCAGCAACGATTGACTTCCATAAAAGCAGATTGTTCACAAAAGCTGAGTGTCCGTCAAATTTTGTTTACAAAAACTTGGATAATTCATGTATTTTAATCAGCGTAGGGTATTAAAACGAGCTATGATGAAAATTTACTAATTGATATCTCGATCTATTTGTTCTTTGACAAAACATTTAAAAAATAATTCTATATATCAGCATGTATGTTAATATGTATGCATGTACTGTACGGGTTTGTTTAAATGTCACATAACCTTAGGTATTGTATCAAATTAGATAAGAAAATGTTACATAGATACAGAGGAAGATGAGCCGAAATATTTTCTGAAACTACATAACGACCAGCAACATTTATTTGGTTCCTACTTCGTACATCTAATTAGCGAAACATCTCGCAACTCAATTGAAAGAGACTGCCGCGCTACCATTCCCTGCTATTCCACATTATATGATATTATAGAGCACGCTATCTACACTTGCCTTTTATACCTGTTGGAGCATTTATACATACATATACAAATTAATACGTACATATACTATATATAAATACCTGGATACATATACATGCATAAACCACATATGCTCCTTTTATATAATATATCTACGTATTCATACATTTATTTATATTTGTATAAGCAATTGAATTGTTTTAATTTTTTGGTCGATCAAATTTTTAATTTTCAACTGCAGGTGTTTAAAAATGACCTAGACAATCTCACCCAATGACCTAGACAGTCTCACCAAATGCCGGTCGTATCGTGCAGTCAGAGTATTTCTATATCTCTATAAGTTACAATAGAAAATGAAGAATGATGTGAAGTGACTAACACGACGATGACGACGATGATGACGACGATGGCGATGATGGTGGTGGTACAAAGGATAAGATGTGAGCGTGCAATGTTTATATATGAAGATCCAATAACATTGAGGAGAGGTGATTATCTTAGCAACCCACCTAGCAACCAACCTTCCTTCCTTCCTTCCTTCCTTCCTTCCTTCCTTCATACCAGATCCAACTGTTACTTCAATGAACAGCCTTCACAAACTGGCTCTACTCTACGATGAACAACAAAAAAATAACAACCTGCTTTGCCTATCCACCCACAGATGTTTCTGTTTACTCAAAAATTTGTACATACACACACGTTAATAAAGAAAATACAAACACACTTACGCACACACTCACGCACACACACACACAAACAAACGCACGCACGCACGCGCGCACACACACACACATATATATATATATATAATCATTAAATTTATTAATAAATATATAAATATATACACCGTACATACTATATATATATATATATATATATATATATATATATATATATATATATATATATATATATAATTAATAAGTCTAAATACAAATGACGTTTCGAAAGAATGACTCGACGATGAGGAGTGATGCGAAGAATCATAAACAAAAAATAAAAATTATAGTTGAAGATAAATTATGGGTGGAAAGAAAATTTTCAACAGTGCATATATTTTACACGTATTTTTGCGTTTCACCTGGTAGCTCATTACTTATTCATGAGTCTTTCATTATTCATTAAGGTTGATTAATATTCATAAATATGGCTATGTTCACTTCATTAAATATTCAACAGTTCCTAGATTGATTGCTCAAATATTTGGATGCTTCATTTGATATAACTCAACGATAAAATTGCATTTATTTTGCCAAAAATGCATTAATGCATTAACTAATGACGTATATACACACACGCACGCACACATGTGTGTGTGTGCGTGGTGTGTGTATATGTGTGTGTGTGTTATGTACATATCTATATGAATAAGCGCTTCCAAAGGGACCGATAGAGCACACGTTCAAAGAAATCGTTAATCAGGCAACGAAAGAATGGTTTTATAACTAAATACCATGGTGCATTTGTAAGGCAGTCATCGTTGACGATGATTTCGTTGTAGCAACCTGTACCGCATGGCATTATTTTTGATTTATTCATTCAGTTATTTGAAGAAAATCCAATCAATTAAATCAAATTTAATTTATTCAAAAAATAATTTTCGTTTATAATATAAGTCGAAATGTCAATAAAATTACCATTCTTACAAGAATTCTTCCACCATTAACTTAAAAACTATATTATATGAACAAAAAATCATTAAATAAGTTGAATATTGACAGCTTTAATTAAAAAGTAATTAATTTTATTATTTCGTTTCTCTAATTTTAAATTATATTAACAATATATTGAAGCGAAACCAGAAGAAACATGCCATGAAATTTAAAATATAAAAATAATGTCACGTTCAAACATAATAATTTCGCAACCTTATGTAATGATATATCGAAAAATAGTTCATATATCCAAACAATAATTCAAAAATAATAATACATTAAACAAATTTAATTAACTAGTAAAGCTGACATATTTATTTAACTATTCAACACAATAGCTTAGCCAATGAATCGGGGAAAATTGATTTATAATATTTACGCGAATGAATCACATACCATTAAATCTCTCATTTCCTGTGAAACTCAATATTAAGTAATCAATAAATCTTGAATGAATGGATGAAAGTGAGGGGAATGAATGAATGAGATGAATGAATAGCTGTGTGATTGATTCGATTGGTAGATCAATTAATTTAATTTAATCGTAACATCGAGCAAACTTTACTTAAGCAAACATAATCGCATTTTGCCCAAACAATTTTACTACTTTATTATGCTTATATATATATATATATATATATATATATATATATATATATATATATATATATTTGGTTTAGACTATCATAAATACAATTATTTATAAAGATCACTGCGTCTTCGGTCTGCGTTTGAGAAACTCAGCTTGTAGTTGAGTTTCTCAATTTTTCTAACGAGGCTTTTTTTTGACGTCAAAAATGTCAAATGTTAAAAGTTTTTTATTTAACCTTAATAAACTTCATTAAGATGACAAAAGTCTCGTTAGAAAAATCTACAAGTTGAATAATGCCGAAAACGCAGTGATCTTTATAAATAATTCTATATTATATATATATATATATATAGAGAGAGAGAAATAGAGAGAGAGAAAAAAAGAGAGAGAAATAAAGAAAGGACGATATAATAAAGAGAAAACAGCCCTTGAAAATGTAGAGTATAAAGGAGATAGGTCCTGGAAATATGGAGCATTAAAGAGATGTGGTAGAAATGAGCGCGAGAACGAAAATTCGGATTTCCATGGTTTCCTCGGGATTTCCGTTGAAAAGCAAATTTTCGGGAATGAAAATAAAAAACGATAATAAAGGAAAGGAATGGGACAAGTGATTAGAATTATTTACAACTTAAAACCTCATTGGTGTATGCAAGAATAGCGGCAATACATTGCAGGTATGATTGTAATATCATGATAATCGTGCAATTACTGCTATCACATTTATCCAGCCTTGTATGATCAAGAAAATTATCCGCAAATGCTTCATCATCAGAAACAGATACTGCAAACATCAACTTAAGACAACTCAAAACTGGTAAAAAATATTTGACAAGACTGATCAAACTTAAAGTTATAATAGTCCAAAAAAAGGCTTATATTAGTAAAATTTGGAAGTTTTATTTTTGTAAAAAACTGAAAGATTAATTTTATAATTTATTTTTAATTAAAATTTTTTATTGATTTAAAAAAATTATTTATGCCGATGTATTGAAAATACTTAAGAACAATTCATCGTACACATTTTCTTTAACAATTTTGGAGAATGAAAAACACGGCTATTGGAAAAACAGGGAAAAAAACTTTGGGATTGTGTTTAAAAATGTGAATTTTGTGGAACAATGTTACAAATGATAATTTTGAAAGGAAATGTTAAAAAAAAACTATCAAGCTCCGCTCACCCCTAATAAGAAATATAAAGGTAAAGATCAAAACTAAAGAGTGAGAAAGAGTAGTCTTGTCTATTTACCATCTTGCTTAGTAACGTTAAAAATGTTGGAGACGACAAAAGCACGAGGTCGAAACGGATTCTATCAAAAGAAAATTTTAAATAAATTAAATCAACTGCGAACAAATGTGAACAGGCAAATCTAAATCCCCCGCTTTTGAAATTTTGCCATAAGAAACTTTCAAACTAGTTATCTAGCCCGAAATGAGTGTACCAAATCGATGATTGTGCTTTGATGTATAACGTGACAATAATCAGTAATTAACCTGATTCCAATGTATTTGAAGATATTGGATTAGTGACACTAAATGTGTTAATTTTTGATCATCAAAAACATTTGAAAAAATCAAGTTTGCAAAATAATTGATGCGATCTCAATGAATCAAACTTTCTGGTTTGAACCACAAAGACGAAGTGGACAATTTTTAAATGAAATTTTGCACTAAGCATAATGTTTTAAAATTAAAAGACAAGAATCCTAATCTAAGATTAATGAAACGCCTGACAATAATTACATTATGGCAAATAAATTCTGAAAAACGCCTTTAAATTAAAATGAGGTGAAGGGTAATTGTTAAAATGAAATAAGAGGCACAACCGTGTTGCATTATTTTCCAAACTATGTGGTCATAATAAGGCACCAATCACATGAGGCTCTCTTCATACAATGTCTAAAAAAAACTATAATTAATCAACAATATATATTTTTATATCGATATATATATACAAATTTATTAGAAAAAAAACTAATATATAAAATCAATGTGATTGTAACATGTCAAAATATTTAGAAAGTTAAAAAAATTGACGCACACAATTTTAAAAAATTAAATAAAATTATTGTAGAGCCCTGACAAAATGTTTTAAAAGATTACATAGGCAAGTTTCCTTTGAACATCATGTTTGCAACCTCTTACTTTAATTAAGACTTCAATTGTTACATTTTATGGTAAGAAATAAATAAATAAAAAAATAAACATTTTATGACGACAGCAATAACAACAGCAACAACAATATACAAGGAAAATAGCAGAAATTGGAATCACATAGCGAGTATTAATTACATTTAACTTATCTATATCTACAATGCCATAAAGCATTCAGATGATACAGCGAATTGATGAATAATTGAGCAATGTCTGGATGCAGAGGACTCGCTTCTTCGTTTATGCCTTTCTTTAAATTTGTTAACTTTCAATAATTGCAAAGTAATAATAATAACAAGAAGGATAAAACTGTAATTGACAAGGAAACACAACAAACTTGCTGGCATGCATTAAATGCAGCACAATATAAAGGGATTCGGGTCGGTAGTTTAATTTAAGCGAAATTAAGACACGATTAGGTGCAAAGAAAAGTTAACATTCATAGGCTCAATGGCCACCTGCTAGACACACGCACAATGGAAAGACGCCAGAACTTGTAAGAATAGGAACAAAACTCGCCAAATTCAAATTTTGTAAAGGATAAACTTTAAACATAAATTATTTTAACCTAAATTTCAAATCTGAAAAAAATGAACAAACTAAAAAACCAAAAAAACTGTTATGTGTATAATATAGATAAATAATAAAACATATATATATATCAATATGTGTGTGTGTTTGTTTGTGTGTTACTATTCTCACATATTAACCAAATAATTAACCTCTAATTAATGAAAAAGTACCGACAAGCGATGACAAGACCAGGATGACAGACAATCGTCCCAACTACAGACGGAGATATGTAGTACAGTAAGTGCTGTGCGTGTTTCATAATTATTTTACTTAGGGTTTTTCATAGCACTAATGTCATCTTTTGCGTTACAAAAACTATGCAGCACGAAGAGATTAGTACTAATTCTTAATTGTGTAGAATCAATTCAATCTCTACAACAAGGTTAATACAACTTTATTTATATACTTATCATCCATGTATAATGTGCACTTGATATACGTGTGAGGTGTGTGTGTGTGTGTGTGTGTGTGTGTGTGTGTGTGTGTGTGTGTGTGTGTGTGTGTGTGTGTGTGTGTGTGTGTGTGTGTGTTGTATATGATATGATGTAGTAAGGTCCAATCGCTGACGCAAGCATTGATTCTGCTAAGCGTATGACGTCGATATCTTCGCGCCGAAAATGAAATGAATGAATGAATGAATGAATGAACGAACGAATAAAATAAAGTGAATGCACTGAGCAAACACACCACAAAATCAACCGCCACCTTAATTTTATTGCACCGGCTGTGCTACAGTTTCGCTGCGTTGTGGAAGGAAATATGTACGGATTACAATAATTACAATTACGATAATACATGCAGTTTATTCTTCGTTAATTATACACATAATGCAATATATCTATTCTATACAGTAGTTAATCTCTGTGTGTGTGTGTGTGTGTGTGTGTTATGTGTTTGAGTGTGTGTGTGGTGTGTGTGTGTGTGTGTGTGTGTGTAGGGGTTAAATTTTTACAAATCTTTGAGCGTATGCGGATGTCTGTCATGTTTTTTTTTTGTGTCGGTCGATTTGACGATCAACTCTGAATGAATCTGGCGAGACGATTAACAAATGAATGTAAGGATGAACAAGCCAATACTGCGATGCAATGATAAGACACAATAGACGGACGTAAAACTGGAAATTGAAAGCAAAACAGAAAAAAATCAAACTAAATAAAATAAATAATCAAACGAAAAAAATAACAGTGAAATAATAATTAAATGAATAAAACAATAATAATAATAATAATAAAATAATAATAATTTAAGACCGAAATTTCAAAGACCGAATTTTCAAAGACCAGTGGAAGCAGCACCAATCATCTGTTGGACTTGCTGGAGGTAGTGCGGCTGGATGGGCATCATGTAGCGCCTCTCTTCCGACTGCCTCTCACACTGTTCCACGTGCGTGTGTGGTGTAGTGTGGTGAATGAATGAATGAATGAATGAATGAATGAGTGGATGAGTGGATGAATGAGTAAATGAGTGGATGAATGAATGAGTGGATGAATGAGTGGATGAATGAATGAATGAATGAATGAATGAATGAATGAATGAATGAATGAATGAATGAATGAATGAATGAATGAATGTGTGTGTATTTTGAATGAAGAATCGATTGTGTAACAAAAAAACGTTAACAGGTATGTAAGGAAAAGAAATTCAAAACAATGCGCTGAAACAAGCGGATGAATGTGCGTCTAAAAATGAATGCGTAGTAATGCAAGGGCATCCACTAACGTTGTCCTTCCTAGTGATGTTCAGTTGTCTCTTCACTTTAATGGTCGACAGATTCAGCGGGAAGTTGGTGTAAGATTGGAAATCTGTTTCGAAAGTTTTTTTCCTGAACTCTGGCAAGAGCGGCAGGATGTGTCCCTCAGTGGAGAAGAGGTACTCGTCTGATTTCACGTTCACTGGGTTCCTCTCGTCGAACAACTGATGGCAGGTGTGCATGGTCAATATTTGTGAATATTTATACAAAAATATTAGTCATTCGTGGCTATAATAATAAATACTATTATTATTATTATTATCATTATTATTATAAATATTATTCATTAATATTATCGTAACTATCATTATCAGCATGAACAAAGATGAGCGAAGAAACAGCTGTTTTCCTTTCGTCCAGAGCAGTAAAAATTGTCGCGTAGAAGTAAGCATCACAAAATGATAAGCAGCAGTAGCAGCAGCAGCGGCACACTATCTAACCAAATAAAGATATTTACAGGTTTCACTGAGGAAGAAGCTCTCCATGCGGTCCTCCATCTCACTGCTCGTGACGTCATGTCTCGTGGCGTACCCGCATCTGCCAGGATGGCAAATAAAAAATAAATTGCAAATAAAAAATGAAACTTCATACATTACAACATACAAACATAAAAAAAATAATTTCTTCAACATAAATTTCAAAATCAATTTTACAAAATGACCCTTAGGGATGCATGAAAAATGAGAACATGGTACAAACTTGACTTTGCAATGCTGCTCGATACTCTGCAGTATCTCGTAGCCGACGTGCAGATAGAAGGGGTTCATGGTGGCCCTGTAGAGGTGGTACGTCGATTCAACGAACTCGGGCCGCAGCGGGTAGAAGAGAACTTCGGCGACGTGCAGCAACCAGTTGTACCTCTCGGGCAGTGCGTTGTACCTCTTCCAGATGGCATAGAAGAAGGCGTGCGAGCAAATGGCTTCCTCTATATCTCCGGCGAGAACCTGGAAGGTGATCGTCGTCGTCAGAGTTGGTCAGCATGATGAGGTGCAGATTACAGAGAGATGATTAACTTTCAACAACCAAATAGAAAGTGGGGACAACGAGCACTGAAACACCTCAACAACACGGCGACTAAACAGAAATATCAAAACAGCCAATCAGTAAACGATTAATTCATCGTTTACTGATTGCCATCATCAATGAGTGAACCACGAAAAAAGAACGATTGATGACTAATGGAGGAATGAATGAATGGTGGATGAATGATAGACGAAGAAGAGATGGATGAATAACAGACACGCAGCAGACCGACCTGCACGCCACTCCATGCGGCCTGCAGGGAGTCCACCCAATTGTTGACCAGTTCGCCGTTGTTCATGTTGACGTTCACATAAATTGGTGGAAAGCCAGAACCATAGTTGCAATCCTTGCGACTGTTTGTGTTTTTTGCTTGCTTGCTTGCTTGTTTGTTTGTTTATTTGTTTGTTTGTTTGTTTGTTTATTTAATTGTTTGCTTGCTTGTTTGTTTGTTTAATTGTTTGTTTGTTTGTTTATTTGCTTGTTTGTTTGTTTAATTGTTTGCTTGTTTGTTTGCTTGCTTGCTTGTTTGTTTAATTGTTTGTTTGTTTGTTACATTTGTTTTTTTTCACAAACTTACAAACAAATGATGACAATTAAATTATTGATATAATTTCATGATAACAGATATCTAATTGAGACTGTTACAATTATTCTTCAAATTTTGATCGAATTCATAGAAATTGTTAGCTGAATGCAGTCATCACAACTGCCATCATCGTAACCACCACCACCACCATCACCAACATCATCACCTCACCCTTTCCTCATGTAGATGCGGATGGCCTCATATATCTCGTTAAACTTCTGCAGGTCTTGCTCGTCACCAAACATTATGAAAGACTGAAAACATTATTGTGGACAGATGAAAAGATGGTTTTATGAATGGCTGAGAATTGAAACATTGAAACAAAACTAATGAAACATTGGGAGAGATTTTATTAAACCAATGATTCAAAACGAAAATGTCAAAAATGTTACAAACTACTTATAAAAACAACCAAGAGGCATTGGTAAACCAACAGTAGACACGTCTAACAGAAAAGGAACGCAGAGTAGACCACCTTAAATAAATATTCGTAGTAGGAGTCAAGACCTGCCCCTAGACCACTCATCGTTCCAACCCATCGACCCGTCTGTATGTTCACCACGTTCCCTGTTCGTTTTGTTAAACGTTTTATTTGTCTAAATTTGTTTACAACGTGACTTTTAATCATAATACAAATATCAATAACTATTTTTCTGAACGCCAGCCAATCAGCTGGCCAGCAAATCAACTAACTAATCTACCAACCAATCAACCAACCATCCAGCCAATCAACTAACTAATTTACCAACCAACCAGCCAGCCAATCAACTAACTAATCTACCAACCAATCAACCAACCAACCAATCAATCAACCAACCAACCGACCAAAGAGACCAGTAACATTACTCCTGAGACTCCAGAGTGTCTCGACAGCCAGCTTAGCAGCTCGATCATAGATTGGATCATCCAACAGGTGACTCAAAATTCCAAACTCCAACCTGATCACGAAATATATAAATTTATTCTTCAATAATTTTATAATTAAAATTTATTCCGTTAAAAAAATTTACTAAAGGTAAATTAAAATAATCTGATAAAATTCTGGTTAAACATGTGGCGGCATCAAACACGTGCATACGAAACTTGAAACTAAATGAACGACTTGATTTCACACAAACCAGACACACAAATTTCAAAGCCAACACCATTCATTTATTTTGAAATCGTGATGACCACATTAAAACGAAATCAGTAATGAGTTAGCAAGAATTGAAAGAACATATCATCATTATCAGCACAACGGTGATGAAAATTCTTAGTCAGATAAGAGCAATTATAAAAGAGGATAATTATGGTGATGAATTCACATGAATCATTAAAACCTGCTTTAATGAAAGTTTGATGAAAGTTTTGTATAAAAAACTAAGCCTAATTAATTATAATAGAAGTTCCATATTAACTGGCATGTAAACAACAAAAAAATAAATTGAGAAAATAATGGCCAAGTAACTGTAAATTCCATTAATTTATTAAAAGATTAAAAATATAATTTGCTAATCATTAAATTTATTTAATAACACAAATTAATCGACACAATCTAATGGCAAAAGGAACGAATCAATTGCTAACTACTGATATAATTAATAATAATTGGATGCAAATGAGAATTGGAAGATATCAGTCACTAATTGGCGTAGAAAATTATGACACACAATACCGGTACATTATAAAATGTACTTCTCATTTCTACAAGAACAAACTACAGCGATGAACATTGAGGAAACATAAACAACAAAAACTTATAAACTCAAACATGACAAGTATAGGCAAAAATAGACAGTCAAACAAACAGACAACCAGACAAAGAGCCAGACAAAATAAGAAATAAACGGAGAGAGTTTAAAGAGGCACCTGAGTGTTCCAGCCCCTGCAGTACATGTTTCATTGAGAGAGTTGCAAGGCACACCTGTTCTTAAGTTCACCTGTAGTGGTTGGTTTGATGGTTGGTTGGCTGGTTGGTTGGCTGGTTGGATGGTTGGTTGATTGGGTGGTTGGTTGGTTGGATAGTTGATTGGGTGGTTAGTTGGTTGGTTGACTGAACAGTTAGTTGATTAGTTACAAGATTACAAAAATAACAAATAGCATTATTTAAATATTTTCAGATAAAGATTAAAAGGTTAACGACTTCTCTGAGATAAATATTTTAAAGATTTGATGAAAAAGTGATGAAAAGTACCAACTAGTCAATCAAACAAAAATAGAATCAAATGTTTGCAAAAAAAAGTAACTAAATGTATTATATTTGGAATAATAATTCGCTTTTTAAAATAGAAATCCACTGAACAAACTCTAGGATGTGGCAGACCAGTGGCGCTGTGATCGAAGGCAGAAAGTAATCTGACTCCAAGGTCATGGGCCAAGTTCAAAAGTTCATTGTTGTAGAGATGCAGTGGGTAGAGTTCACCAAAGGGTTGATCAGGGTCTATTATTAACAAGTGAGCCGACAGCAAGGCTCCCAGTACCCTGAATGTCAAGGACATGTCATGCTTTGAATTCTAGAGAACAACAAAACTGGCGTATTCATTGCTATAAAACTGAACAGATATCTCAGTTTAAAAAACAGAAATAAAATCTTGTTTTAACTATCGTTGCTTCATCTTCTACGCTCTCATCATCATCATCAACATCATCATCATCATCAACATCATCATCATCATCATCATCATCATCATCAACATCATTGTAATAATGTTAAGGCACACTTGAATAACATAAAAAACAGATGAAATTTGTTAAGCATGTTCAAGAGAAACCAAGATCATCTGCTGGTGCATCCTGTGTGGACAAGCATCAACAACTACCAGCCAGTTTAACATCCAGTAAGAAGTACTAAAGAGCAAGGAAGTAGTAAACACAAATAGACACCATCACTAATAACTAAATCGTTGACATATTGTTTTATTTGTTCCAACTCAACAAATTGTTCACTCATATTGATAACTTATTTAAAAATTTGAAACATTCAGAAAGTATACAAATCAAGGTAAATATAATATATCTTCAAAACTTTAGCGATCTGACAACCTAGCCAAAACAGATGTATATGCCTGAGAACTTATACAAGTCCGCACCCTGATTTTCATTATTTAAATATTTAATAAGCACATTGTAAGAAATATTTAATGGAAACTTGATGAGAAACAAACTAAAGGAAAAACCTGATGTTGGCTTCAAATATCTGTACAGTGTTTGACTTATCAAATGAGACATGGGTTATTATGAGGTTCACAGCCTTCAGAAATTCTGTCTTATTACCTAATATCTTTGCATAAAATAAAATGTAACAAAATGTGAATAAACCATGTATAAGCAACAGACTTTCATATTGTAATTGTTATAAAAATATCTTGAAAGAGAAGTTAAACACAAACACAGGCAGCAGACAAAAAATTATATTACAAATGGTTATTCTTTATTAAATTTATATTATGAATGTAATATTCACCAAACACACTACAATACTAGTGTAATGTCAATGTATATGCTAACTTACTTAGTGTAAACTAATAGTATATATGAAAGGACTTGAATTAAAGTTTCTGAGGTCTAAACAATGTTATGGAATACAATTTTTCAAAAGAGCAAATAAAAAAGTAAAAAAAAAGAAAAATTGTAAAACTTTATATGAGTTGATGAAAATTTGACAAGTAAAAATTGGAATGACGTACATGATGATGTAAAATTCCAAATTTAAAAATTTAAGATAAGATTTGAAGTGGACATGTCAACTAACAGCCAGTGTGTCCAGAGAATCAACGAGAGTCAGAGCATAATCACCAAGGACATCATTTATGTTTATGTTGGATCTAGTCATTTAAAATTAATTAATCTTTAAATTAATTAACCAATCAAAGAAAAAATTAAAAATCTGTTATTTATGGGGTACTTAATACCTCATCATTTGATGGAATTAATTAAAAAAATGATTTTGGATATTTTTCAATCAATTAATTAATATTAATTCATATCTAGTTCAAGAAATCATAAGTCAGAAGGCAGAACAGAATCACTCTCTGTGCTGATACGCCGAAAATTAGCAATAACAATAACAATAACAGAATCACTCTAGCAACACATTCCTAACTGAATATTATATTCTATTTATACTCTAATTATCCTCCATTATCATTCATCACTCATCATCATTCATTGATCAGGGCTGATAACACTTTGAGTGAATCTTTCATTTAATTTAATTTTATCTTTTCATTTCTTATTGGAAAAATATTTTATTTAAAGCTTTTAAAAGTCAACTAACAAACACTTGAATCAAATTAAGCTCCAAAGCTAAACTCTAAAATGGTGAAATTTAATTGCTTGATGATTGATAAACTTTTGTATTTTTATAGATAGTTGAATTTTGAATAGTGAATGAATGGATACTAAACTTGTAAGTAAAGTAAACTAACTATACCCCGTGTATAGGATGTGGACATGTCATTAATTTTTTTTCATTTAATTATTTATACTTTTTATACTTTTTAACTGTCATGATTAAAATTAAAAATCATCATTTAAAAAATTAGGAATTAAAAATAAATTAATTTGAAAATTAATAAACAAACGGGTTATCATAATCCGGGCCTCGCCCAGTGCAGTGAATGGGGTCCAACTCATCTTTGGGGAAGGCATGCCTCATGTAGTTGTCGTAACCAAAGTAAAACATCCTCCGACTTTCCTCCAGGGCCTGTTGACGTTTCGTTTCAGGGAAGGAACCATACTTTTTTGTAAACTCGTCAGTGAACGGAAATTTTAAAAAAGATGACTCTAAAACGTAAGATATTAATAATACTGATATTAAATTAAAAAATAAAAAATTATTTATCATCTCATTTGGCTGGTTTTTACGAAATCTTGTGTCAGGGTGAAAGTTCCAACAGTCGATAATAAAAATTGTAAACAAGCATAGATATGACAACCACAAACTCATAATAATTAAGCAATTGTCAACGTTTAGAAATCCTATTGGCCAACTCCCAACACTATAGATGATTCACATAGCTGTACTGTATATGTGACGTGATTCACATATTATTTCTTCAAACTTTCTTACTTATAATGGCTATCGCTACGAATCAAATACTGTCAATTAACCGATTTTCCTAATATTAAATTCATAATCATATATTTATTTATTTATTTATATCTGGTTTTCAGTGGGCCTTAAACAATCCTTATGAAAACTGAACGGGATGAAGCAAAACGATCCTTAGTTTTTTTAACCAATTTGGAAAACTTGAAAACCTAATGGGCTAACCAACTGTAAAAAAATATTTAAAAAAATTGTTTTCAAAATATTTTAGAGTTGCTTCAGACTTCATCAATCAAGCATCTGTCATCTGTGTTTCATTGGCCGCTGAATGTAACGCCTTGCACATCGGGAGGTGGAGCCACGTTTGATTGACGTGATAAAATACGTCAACGCCATTCCTTCAGAGGTTTTTATCAGCATCGCCGTTTTTGCCGTTGCAAATTTTATATAACACTTGATAACATTTGGGTGCATGGTAACTGAAATGGTGGGCGGGCGATGTCTGCTGAGGACCAGCGCAGTTCACGTTAGCGTTCTTTTAAGACAATATGTTGAGTAAATATGAGCAAACAAACACAACCAAACTTTATTAATTCAAATAATACGCTTTCATTTTTCAGAAGAAAAATTTTCAACGATCAAAAGTAATTTTTACTTTATTTTCAGAAAATTTCACTTTGCATTGATGATTTTATCTTTTCAATGCTTTCCAGTTAGAAATATTCATCCCTAGAGATGATGCACGCAGATGCTACAACAGTTTGCTGCGTTTATTTCAACCTGTGTGTCTGTATGTGTATTCGTGTGTATGTATATATATGCATGTGCCTATATAAATATGTGTATCTGTATTTTGTGTATTTTATGTGTGTATGTTTGATGTTGAATGCGACGTTTGTATATGTACGTCCGTTGTTGTTTTTTGTGTCTGTTCACATTTATGCTTGCCTCTGTGTGAGTAACAGCATGCAATACAATACCTAAATTTGTCCGTCCACGTATTTATATTTTCGTTTATTTATGGGTACGTGCGATTGCATGTGTACACAGACAGAGTCTTGTGTATGTTCTCAGCTAATAAATTATTTGTGGAAGAACTCAGCCTGGATGAAATGGAGATATGGAAATGCATTATGTTATCTATAAAAAGTTTTGACTCTAAAACTTTAAAATTTTGAAGCTTCGTCATCTGGACTCGGATGCAAGCACGATAAATACTTTTCAAAAAAGAGGGATATTTTCTCTTGTTGACTTTCATTTTCACTTTCTTTTTTAATAATATAATTATTTTCATTGTCAGACATCGCCCAACTTTCCTGGAGAAGAAGCACGCGTTGTTGTTGTTTCCAGGTGCCGCTGAGTTTGTCGGATGCCGTGTAAAGTTAAAAAGTTTTGCTAAATGCTAAATGCATACTTTACAATATTTTGTATTTCGGTTGCATCTATTCAAATTGAATGCTTGAAAACAAACTTATAGATCATCAAATGTTTAAATTTTTGGAAAATGGTTATTTATCCAATTACATTTTTTCATTTGCCCACAATTATATTATAACTTGGACTCTTGAACAGTTATACTTATCACTCTGTACTTCTCTTTGCAATAAATTTCAACGAATTTTTCATTGTCTTCAAAAATATTGGTTTTCCATCGAAAATTTATTTTTAAAATGTTGAGTATATGATAGAAAATAACGGCTATGGCACTTAATAAAAGTAGTTTAATTATGCTGTCTTTGACAAACAAGTTTATAAACAAGCAATTGACATATAAACTGAAACAAGCAAATTGTTCAAGACAGACATGCATGCAGCGATTTTAAGAAATACATCGTCGTCGTCGTCGTTGTTGTTGTTGTTGTTGTTGTTGTTGTTGTTGTAGTAGTTGTTGTAGTAGTAGTAGTAGTAGTTGTTGTTGTTGTTGTTATTGATTGTTAACAAATGTATTTGATCTAATTATGTTCGGTTGATGTAATGTTAATGTTCTTTAGAAGGTGTCACAACACGGACGGATGGATAAGTGGATGGATAGATGGAAAGTTAATGGTTGATAAACATTAAGATAGGTCACCACGCATACACACACACACACACGCGCGCGCACACACACACACACACACACTCTTTCTCTCTCTCTCTCTCTCTCTTTCTTTCTTACACAGACACACACACACACAAACACACACAAACACACAGACACAAGACCTGACAACATCAGTGACGTCATCTTACTTGCCATCTTCACTACTTTATTGCTAACTACGTTCCAATCTTCATCGTCTTCCTCCTCATACTCCTCTCTATAGCTCAAACATCTCTTCATTGCAATGTATCACTGCTCCAATTTTGTATTCACCATCATAATCACATCACTAACACTTGTTGGCATAACTAACTATCATCGTTAAGTTAGTATACTAGGTTAGTGTGGTTATAACTCTTTTACGACATTAATTTTTACTATTTTACTGTCATGTTTAATATTTCCAGCTCCATCTTTTGTCCGAAAGCCAAAAACGGACAGTTGACACACGGCAAGTAGGCTGCAATGCAAGTACCTCAAATGTAGAATGTCAAGTTTATTGTAAGTTCACGTGAAAAAATTAACGAGAAAATAGCAGACTAAATTGAGACGTATAAACTCTACTAGACCGATATACATACATACATAGATACATAGATACATACATACATACATAGATACATAGATACATACATACATACATACATACATACATACATACATACATACATACATACATACATACATACATACATACATACATACATACATACATACATACATACATACATACATACATACATACATACATACATACATACATACATACATACATACATACATACATACATACATACATACATACATACATACATACATACATACATACATACATACATACATACATACATACATACATACAAAAGTACGTACGATTGACTTTGCTGTTAGAATTAGAAGCTAAAGGAACATTTGTTAAACCAACCAATGACAGATAGGCCTGGTGATTGATGGATATTTAACAGTCATTCAGTCATTTCTTTTTTTCTTGTTTATTTTTCATTCAATCATTCCCTTCCTTCTTTCGTTTATTTATTTATTCATTCATTTTTTTCATATTAATTCATCTACTCCTCCAATAATTTGTTAATTTTTAAATAAATAGTTTGGATCAATCGATTCTTTTAATTTCTTATAAAACGTTTCTTAAAAAATTTTCCAATTTTCAACTTTTCCTATACTTTAGAAAAAACACTACTACACACACTCACACACACACACACACACACACACATACATACGTGCGCACACATACATACACTCACGCATACACACGTACATGCCCATACAAATATATATATTGTACATGAGGATTTATATCTGTATATACGTCCAGACACACACACACATTTGCACATGCTTGCCATCTTCCTACGGTATAAAGTCGCCGGCGATAAATGACGCAGTAAACAAAGTGGCGTTCAAATTTATTTTTTTTATATATAAATTTTAATGTCGTATTTAAAAAATTATTCTGGAATCAAAATATTGAATTATTTTTTCTCTTTACGCATTTTGTTGAAAATTTGGATTTGAAGACATCGTCAAACAATGAAAGTATATGATGATTACAACAACAACAACTGCAACTTAACGCCGCTCTTCTTCAACAAAAACATTCTAACTTATTCAAAAAAATTTTTTCAGGTACAACAAATACGATTTCATCAACAGCTACCAGCAATTACACCAACACCATACCAACGACAACAACTTTAACAGCAACATCAGCAACATCGGCAACAACAACAACATCATTAGCAACAACAACTACTACAACAATAATATCGGCTTCGACAGTTGCAACAGTAGTTTCGGCAACAATCCTGCTAACAACTTCAATTACAGAATAAATAAATTCAACGAAAACAATCTTAAAATCTCAGACACTAAAAACAACAGCAACAACAACATTTCGACAACATCGCAACGACATCAAAGCATGGACACCACCCCAGATTACTCGCCATCATCGTATTTCCACAATCAGAATGCAGATTTTAAAAATTCCATAAAAAGTGAACAATACGATTCCTTCTTTCAATACCAAAATCAACACACCCAGTATCTCCAACATCAACATCAACAACAACAAAATCATCATCAGCAACAACAACAACATCATCAAAATAACCAGCAACAGTACTTTGACGACATCAACAAAAATCAATTTTACTACAAAAATTTATCAATGAAAAACGTCAGATGCATTTTCCAGTTTCCAAATTCACCGGAACATCATCATCATGATCATCCTCATCATCATCATCTTGACCATCATCATTATTCCGACAGTAGTTGCGATGAGTCTAATAACATGGTGATTGACTCGGACAACAACAACACCAACAACAGCAACAACAATAATGATGTCATGCAAGACAACAACAACAACAACAATAATGATGTCATGCAAGACAACAACAACAACAACAACATCGATGACAATAACAACCACATCTTAGTCGACAAGAACAACAATTCAAAAAGAAATATTGAAAATAAGTTAGATATATTTAACCAATTCATGGCAGAATCATCCCCAACGAAACTACAACAACAACAACAAAGTCACAACAAACGATCAAACACACCAACAACATCATCTGTATCCTCTTCCTCCTCCTCCTCCTCCTCCCTAACAACACCTTCACAACAACAACAACAACCACAACACAAACATTTAACAACAACAACCACAACCGCTGCGTCGACAGCATCAGTAATAACGAGAAACGAATTTGGAGACGAAGACTTATCGACACTTTCGCGCGAAGAACGCAGACGCCGACGACGGGCCACACTGAAGTATCGCATCGCCCATGCCTCGAGGGAGAGAGTCAGAGTGGAAGCTTTCAACGTGGCGTTTGCTGAACTTCGGAAGCTACTTCCCACCCTACCTCCTGATAAAAAACTCTCCAAGATCGAGATTCTTAGACTGGCTATTTGTTACATCTCGTACTTGCACCACGTCCTCGAGTTGTCGTAAGGTGGTGTCGTTGTTGTGATTTGTGATGGTGTTGTTTTGAGTGTCGTTGTTTGCATGTTGTTGTTTTGGATGTTATTACTTGGATGCTATTGTTTGGATGTTGCTGTTTTTGTTTATATTGTTAATGTCGTCATCTTCATTGTTACTGTTTGTTAATTATTGGTTGTTCCGATAGGCGTTAGTGTATAAAATTATGTTTAGCTGTGGCATTTTTGATGAGCATGAAAGCGCTTTCGTAATTGTACTTGTTGTTGTTCCTCCTTTTACATCACATTACTACCTGCTACTGGTTCATCAGCTGCGTCAACACGTTCTAGTTACTTCAAGTAAAGAATGCTTCTTGATGAAGTCATGCTATTAGAGTGCCACCCCTTCTTTCTTCAAGACAGCAGCGTTTGTAGCAAATTTGTAACAAAAACATTCCTATTAACGTTGTTACCTGCACATCCACATTACTTAGTATCATTTTTCAATTCAAAATTCGCACAATTTCAAAGTCGCATTTCAATTCTAGACATTCCAATCTATTTCGATTTTTATATAAAAAAAAGTCGGAATATTTTGTTGGCATCTAGATCTAGTCGCCAAACTAACGCTACAATCAATTTTGTGCCAGTGGTAACGATATTCGGATATAATAGAAGACGATGTATATGAATTTGTTGCTTTAATAACTTTAATTTACCATCCTCAATTCTTTAATAAAATAATTTATTTTCAAAATTTTTTTATTTGTTGAATAATTAAAATAAAATTGATTAACAATTTTTTATGTTTAGTCAAATGAAAAATAAAGAAACGCTATCTCATCAGTGAATAATATTTTCAGGCAGCAATTTATTCAGTAAAACATTTTATAATTTGTGTGTCCATATGTACAAGTTGCAGCATCTCGAAGTTTACAAACCAACATGGTTGGATGGTGGTAACGTTATAAAGGGTCTATCATCTTTAAGTAAGTAACAATAACAATAAAAGTGTTGAATAAATAATGAAGACCAACGACCAATCAATCAATAATAATAATCCACATCACGTATGACACATATTTCATTTGAAGAATCAGTTTAGACATTTCAACATGAACGAAGCGGAAGATCCGAAAAAGATGAGAATTAATTTCAAAATAATGTCATGCCAAAACATCACAAAATTCATGATAATTTCAAATATAAAAGTTTAGGTTCAGCATGAAGCCTAAAATTATTTTCATTGTTAACTGTGCAGACGGTACATGAAAATTAAAAGTAACAAATGTTTTATTGACTCAATTAGTTCAATTAATTTTATGACTTCTTTCACACACACATACACACAAACACACAAAAAAACACACATACACACACATACAAACAAACACACACCCATACATACATACACACACAAACAAACACAAACACACAATGAAGCAACTGAAGAATGGATGTTCCAACGAGGGGAGATGTTAAATAGAATTTAATCAACTGCACTAAATAAGAAGTCTTCTGAGGATTTAGGTCTTATATATATATATATATATATATATATATATATATATATATATGTACATATTTATGTATATATGTGTTTGTATTATATATATATATGTGTGTGTGTGTATATATATACAATTTTGACTTGTTATACAAAATATAAATGTGTGCAAATGAATATGTGTGTTCGTAGAAGAGTTGAGTTCATTATACAACTAATAAAAGATGGTTGTTTCTGTATTGGAGTGGAAGACTTAGGAGAGCAGGAATGCACCAGGCTGGTGCGGTCACAACGTTGCAACATTAAAATGCATTGACAGCTCATTATTATATTATAATATATTATAATGTTATAATGGGTTTGGTTATTTTTTTGCTCACTTATTTTTTGTCCAATCATATAAGTTTGAGTATTTTTATTTAAAAAATAATAAGAAATAGAAACCGTAAAAAAGATTTGTCGAGATTGTTTTAAACAGAAAAGGTAGTACTCTGGCTTTCTGAGAAAGGCATTGTTATTGTAATATATTTAACGACAGCGTCACGAACGTTTCAAACACGTCAAATCAAAAACATGACAAGTGGAATAACAACAACGTCACGGTAATCACACGGCGTAGCGGTTAAGGTGAATGGCAGCGAAGATGATAATGATGACACCCACGTGGGCAAATTGATGCCAATCAGTAGGCAGGGAATGAACAATGTGAATCTCATCTGCATCCCCAATCCCCCCCTCGATGAGAAAAGGCCCTTCAACACTTTTGATGACGACGACGATGATGATGACGACGATGATGATGATGACGACGATGATAGTGGAATGATGATGACGATGACAGAAGTGATGATGATGGTGTTGATGATAATTTTAATTATGAAGAACTCTCTTTGATGTTGAATGATCATTTCGTGAGAAAAGAAGTCTCCTTCACAGGTTGAAATTATGAATTGGCTAATTATCGATCGCCCCTTATAAGCTGCCATTTTAATTATACTTTTTTTTATTTTATCTTAATTTAATTTCAATTTATTTAAGTTTAGTAAAATTTTGTTTATGTATTTTCATAATTTGTTATCTTAATTCAATTTATTACATTGTAACAAAAATCCACTCGCTTGCAAGTCTTACATTTTTATAAAATGAGATTCTTGTTTGTATATAAAATCAATAAAATTAATCACAAACCACAAATATTAAATGATTTAAAAAGACATCTTTTAAAAATTGTTCCATTTAGAATAGATTTTATAACTTGCGGATAAAACATAAAGTACAATCATGTTTTTGTGCTTGAAGTCTTAAAATTTACAAACTAATCGTCACATTCATGCTTGCTAGGACCGGTTTTGTAATCTAAAAAAATTTAACACCATAAAATGAATGAGGTATTGGGAGACGTGTTTATAAGATCAATCATCATTCTTTAATTTTTAACGAAACTTTTGAAAATCATTTTATTAAATTTTAAATAAGTTCAGAAAAATTGGTCGATTGGATTCGAATGTTATTTAGTAGGCTGTAGTGGTACTTGCCTCGCTGCAGGTTGACATATTCTGTTGACCCTGTTTTTAATCATAAAAGTCGCAATAATACAAAAAATTTACAATAATCACACACACACACACACACAAATATTCACACACATACACACCCACAAGTGTGTGCGTGTGTGTGTGTGTGTGTTAGAAACGTGTGATAAATTAATGCTTTCGAATTATATCTACCTCTTTTATTCAATTCTCATCACCACCATCATCATCATCATTATCATCATCTTCTTTATCATCATCATTATCATCTTCTTCTTCATCATTATCATCATCATCGTTACCCTCCTTATATTCTTTCGTTAAAAGTAACGTTCGTTTCGTAATGCCAAATCGATACCGAAACCAACTTCATTTTAATTAAATCCCACACCATCATCATTATGCATGTTTATGCATGTTTATGTATGTGTGTATATATATAAAATGTGTTTGTTTGTTTGTTTGTTTGTTTGTGTGTGTGTGTGTGTGTGTGTGTGCAACAATACAGCAACAAAAACAACAACAGAACAACAGTTCATTAACAACCACAATACAACAACAACGACAACAACAGCAACAACAGGCAGCACAAAAAACATCAAAACTACGTCGGCCATTACAACAACTACCAACCAATCAATTGCGTGCTTACGTCGCCACGTTAAAAATTTAATCTGAAGCAAAAGAAACACCTGAACAGTAAAAGAAAATGATGAAGATGAAGAAGATGATGATGAAATGGTGAAGATGATGAAAAAGAAGATGATGATGGAACGGTGAAGATGAAGAAGAATGAGGATGATGAAATGGTGAAGATGGAGATTAAGATGAAGAGAATGAAGAAATGACGAGAAGGAAATGATGAAGATGATGAAATGATGACGATGTTGATAATGATACTGTCGTAAAGCTAATAACATTGTTGTTATTCTCCATATGGTTTTGTTTCCAATCCACCCAAAATGTGTCAAACTGGAGATTACATGTTTGTCAGTTTGTGGAAAGATGCAGCAGTAGCAGAAAACATTTCATGTACGCATACCCACACATAGACTCGTACATTTCGAACGATTGAATTTGCGCCATTAAATATGCGTGTTACACATTAAATGTACGAAAATAGGTACATAATTCGAAGAAGAAGAGGAGTGTATACATTAATATTATTTATAACATGGGTGTGCGCGTATATGTGTTCCTGTGCATGTGTGCACGGAGGATTAATGTTAGCAGATGATTACATAGGTGAGTATTGCCAATTGCACACATGCATGCGTCTGTTTGTTTGCCTTAGCGGTTTCCTACACCTATACACGCACATATTTTGTTGGCTTTGGCAGAGTTTATTTATTTATAAAAACAAAAGTGTTGATGGAGCATTAAATACTTTAAAAGCATTGAGAGTGTTGCGTGATATGCCAAGTCTATCTACCTACCTACCTACCTACCTACCTTCCTACCTACCAGCCTACCTGCTAAATGACTTGTACGTGTGTGTGTGTGTGTTTGTGTGTGTATGCGTGCGTGCGTGTGTGCGTGTGTGTGTGTGTGTGTGCGTGTGTGTGTGTCATAAGAATCGTAGAATCGTAAAACATTTTAACGTCTGTTTAAGATACATCAGCCCACATCAAGGCACACACATAAGCATAGTTATAATAGTTCTATACACGGAGACAATACACACGCACACGCACACACACGCATAGATATATAAACAAAATAACAGTAAACGCCCAAACAACACTTACACTAACGACAACAACAACCAACAAGGACAAATATATATTTGCGACACTGACAAAATGGAGTTATACTAACAGAAAGTATAATGTGTATAACATAAAATATAAGAAACACACACCACACACGCATACACACACGCACGCACACAAATACACACACACATACGCACACACGCACATAATCTAATATCAAAACAACTGCAAGTTGAACAAGCATGCAACAAGATGGAAGGTCATGAACTTTTGATTAAAAGATGATCTCTTATTAATTAGAGGGCACCACGATAAACTTCATCCTCTATTTCTTTCTTTCTTTTTTATTTTTTCACTCATTCATTTTTTTTATTCTTTCAGTCACTCATTCATTCATTTTTTCGTTCGTTTGTTCATTAAATAATTTACTATTTTATTTAAACTGATGATGATCATTATAGCTGACGATGCGATAATGATGATGTTGATGATCAAAGAATGGTGATAACATTAACGTGATGATGATTAAAAATGGTAATGCGATGATTGTCAAAAATGATTATGACGATGAAGAAGAAGAAGAAGATGATGATGATCTAAACGGTGGTGACGCTGATGGTCGAAAGTGATAATGATCATCAAAACGATGATAATGATGATGACGATGATGACGATGATGACTACGATGATGATGATAAGGGTGACGATGATGACATTAAGAAGAAGATGAGGAAGAAAAATGAAAGTGACGTTGACTTGATTGGCAGGCCAGCCACACAAACAGATCAGACATCATTAAATGAAGAAGATCTTCGTGAAGTAGTTGTAGCAGACTCTACTACTTCTCATTACTTGTCCACACATATGTAGGTATGTTTCTCGCGCATGAGTTATTCTGATCAGTCTAGCCCATATAATAATAACAAGCATTGTATTATTTGTTCTCTACTCTTTCTCTCTCCCTCTCTCTCTTTCTCTCTCTTTCTATATATATATATAATATATATATATATATATATATATATATATATATTGTACCATATATTTACAATTATTTATATATATATATATATATACATATATATATATACATATATGTTGGTAATAGACCATAATTTTTACAATATTCTATAAATTCTACCGAATATATATATATATATATATATATATATATATATATACAAATATTTATATATATATACAAATATTTATATATACACATTTCCAAAACTTTTAAAAAGAAAACAAATCATATGTAACAACTAGGTTATGTATGTTATGTTATGTTGTAAATGATGAAGATGATGATCGTTATCATGATGATGATGATCATCATCATGATTATGATTAAAAAGAAATATAAAGAAAATGATGATGATGATGATGATGATGATGATGATGATGATGATGATGATGATGATGATGATGATGATGATAAGAATCAATAAGTGAAGCCAGACGTCATTTCATTATTTTGTCTCGACCTTCGTTGTCATCAACTCACCGGCTGTCATCATCGCTGCTATCATTATCATCATCTGTATCAGAATTATCGTCATCATCCATATCATCATCGGTATCATCATTGTCATCATCATTGCTATCATTATCAGTATCATCATTATCATCATCTCTGTCATCATTATCATTATCAGTATCATCATTTTCATCATCAGTATCATCATCATCATTCTCATCATAACTGTCATTGTTATCGAGCAAAACCGAAGATAAAATACAAAAAAAGTAAAATTTTGAAAAAATAATTTATTTTGCTGAACGACAAACAAGGTGTCGATATTAAAAAACTGCAGGCGATCCCTGCATACCCATGCAAATCTCTATTAAGAGATACCTTAAACATTCAAACTTTGGTTCAAATCCAGATGGTTTATGTTATATGTTATAGCTATGATTGTCAAAGTTAGTTTCTTTATAATAATAATAATAATAATCAAATAATAATTTGGTGGAATCTAAAAAAATAACCACATTCGGCTAAGTCAAACACTCGGTGAGTCACCATATGCTTCTTGTATCATCATCCCCCTCATCGTCGTCACCATCTTTATCGTCACCACCATCTTCATCATCATTATCATCACCATCATCATCATTTTCATCCCCATCTTTATCATCATCACCATCTTCATCATCATCACCATCATCGTCATCATTATTTTCATTAATGTTATTATCAATATTATTAACGTTTCATTGAATGCTTAATGTTGGGAACGCTTGTTATTTTGGACGCTAACATTAAGAGTGTCTCTACATTCTTTGTTAATTCTGTTGATGTTGTTGCTGTTGTTGTTGTTGTTGTTGTTGTTGTTGTTGATGATGATGGTGGGGTAGTTGATGTTGTTGATGATGATGTGGTTTTTGATGTTGTTGTTGATAATTATGGTGGGGTTGTTGATGTGGTTGTTGATGTTGTTGTTGATAATTATGGTGGGGTTGTTGATGTTGTTGTTGATGTTGTTGGTGTAGTTGTTGATGTTGATGATGATGGTATGGTGGTTGACTTTGTTTTTCTGATGTTATTTTTGGGTTATGGTTTTTTCTGTAAATCGTTTATTGAATTATTTAGCCTTTAAATCTGTTCTTGTTTTTTTTTAACAAAATTGACCTGTAATAATATTTGAATGTTATTTTCATGTTTTTTGGCATGTTAGTTAGTGGTCGCTGCTGCAGTGACGTTGTAGTAGTTGAAGTAGCTTTTGTAGCTTCCGAGGTTAGCACTTTTTTCTGATAGCTTGATGTTTTAATCTTTCATCATCGTTTTAATCTCACGTCATCTTCCCCATCTTTGTTTTGTTCACGTTAATTATTCATCGAATCGTTTTTCATGTTCCGGCGTTTAAAAAATTAAACGAACGACGGTAGACGAAGGAGTCCTCCGTTGATGTTGTTGTTGTTGTCGCTGGATGATTTTCACTTCCACGTCACGCGAATGTTTCGCTGGCGTCAGTTTTTAGTTTAGAAATTATTTTTTTTTTATTATATTTTACTTTTATTTCACGAAATTAAGAAAAAATGCGTTTATTGTAACAAAATTAATCACCAGCAACATCTTTTGTGTCTATGAAGCGTTACTGGTGTTGTTCATGACATCATTGTTGTCATCATTTATATTGTTAATGTTATCAACTTCGTCATCATTGAAGTCAGATTTTTTTACATCAACGTCATAATTAGCGTTCCATCATTAATATCACTATTTTTGTCAGCAGAATCATTTATTGAAGTTATTAATAATTTCCTAATCAACATCTCCTTCAAGTCGAGAGCAACTCCTCTTCATGTTCATCCTCACCATGTTCTTCCTCTCCATGTTTGTCTTCTCTATGTTCATCCTCTCCATGTTCATCCTCTCAATGTTCATCATTTCCGTGTTCATCCTTTCCATGTTCATCATCTCTATGTTCATCCTCACGTTATCAGCTCCTTGCAAACACATAGCAGGTGAAACATTGAGAGACGAATAATTATTTTAATGACCATCCACTTGTCCGCATGGCATCCTAACTAACTAACTACCTACCTAATTGTGCATACATTCATCCACGTATCATTTTTTTATATTATTTATTTTACATTTCACGAGAAACTCAACAAAACAATTTTATTTCATTTTAAAGCGATCAAGAACAGGGCTGTTGGAAGGATGTTGTATGAATTCACCGGAAGATCAAACCACAATATTCAGAAACACGACCAGCAAGAGACGCATTGCTGATTTTCAATAACATTTTCACGCACACAAACAAATGAAAGATTATTCTGAACCAACCATAAACAAAAGTGATGGCTAAAAGCGTTTGCAGGTTAACTTAATTAGCCACAGACACGTGCGTACATACTGAAATACATGTATAAAGTTAAAAAAGCGAGCGCACGTTCGAAATATTGAGAGATAGACAAATGTAGAACACTTAAGGGCCAAAAGTGCTTACATAGTTGATGTTTTCATGGGGGATGCATATCAAATAAACCTGACTAAACTAAGCGCTGTCGTTTAACGGAGTTTGCAGTCGCCGCACGTGCTACACTAATTTGCTTAAACACTCAACAACACTCCGCGGTCCACCAATTAAGGTGATCTTGCATCAGGTTTCCTCTGCTGTTGTTGTTGCGCTGTTGTTGTTGCTGGCAACTTTTTTATTCTTCATTATGTGATTCTGACTATCATTTATTTAGTCACACGCAAATAAACTTGTCTCGCCACGAAGGCTTCACTGTTCACCCACACAACAAAACATACATCAACATTTTGTACGCACGTACGTGCAGGTAGGCACTGCATCATATGCGTATTGTTTTGATAGTTTTCGAGTTTCGGGGACGTCGTTTCAGAACCACAAGGTGAGTCTAAGATGACTGCCCAACTTGTTTTTGTCATCTTGTTGGTTGTTTGAGATGATGAAGATGCTGTGTTGTTGTTTGTCTGAGTTAACAAATTAGTGTACTCTTGTGTTGCAAATGAAAGCAGTTGTACTTTCTATAATCGTCAAATTAGAACATGAAAAAATAGTTGTTGAAAAGAAAAGAAAAAAAAGAAATGTGTTTAAATTTTAAATAGTGAAAAATTGGAGAAAAAAACTAATTAATTTCGTAACGTATGAGCAGAGGATTCATTATAAAGCGTTTCCAGTCAATTAACCGGCAGCTTATACGATGACACTTGTTCACCAGGACCGGATCGAATGCCTCTCAGCGTCTAATGAAGCATCTTCTCATCAATTATCATCTTGAGTGTTTTCCGCGACCAACCATTCATTCAATTAGTTTTCTTATTCATTCATCTGAACATAGCTCATTCAATTTTTCATCATTTTTTTCATTACCCATTTATCTATCCATCATCTCTATCAATCCATCCATTCATCCAAATATAATTGTACTTAATTTAACCTTTTTGAATAACCCGCAATACGACCACAATCGTTTCATAACAACTAAAAATTTTTGTTGTTCAAAATCTGATGTTATGATGATAATAATTCATCTCCTGGCGAGACCTGTGAAGAACCTAAAATTAGTTTTTAAGATTTGGTTTCCTCCAAACTATCATCTTCAACAATTATTTCTCGTCCTTCTAGGCAACTTTTCAAGGTCATTTGTATAAGAACAAGTTATTCAATAATAAATATAAATGTAAATATATCGTTACTCTATTTAATATTGAAGAAATTAAAATCACATGTTCCTTAATTTTGTTTGCAACAAAATCATCAACATTAATTTTTAAAAACCATTTCTAGCACACCCTATCGCGATATATAAAAATTTGTCGGCACCATATTGCACTAGAAGACAACAAACAGAATGAACAACAAAGGGATGGAAAACATGTAAGAGAATCTAATTCAACATGGAGACATGGAGAGGTAATGTTCCCTCCATCTATCACGAGCAATTTGTAACAAGTTGTTGTTTGTAATCTCGAGGGAGATGTAGTAGATGTAACGTAAGAAAGTAGTAGCAGTTGTCCGCTCCTAATTTCCAACAAATTGTTTCTGGCTGGGGGCGATCGGCCACCCATCGAATGAATCATTTATTATTCATGAAAATGTGCTGCTTCAAATGCTGCTGCTGCTATTTTTTGCTTCAAAGATATCCTAACTCACACGTTCATATGCTCTAAAAACGTTCTGAATACAATGTCATCTAGTAAGAAATTTTTTTAATGGTCTGGCATAGTTTCTAGGCTATTCATGCAAGCGAAATAAATTACTCTCAAATATTATTAGCAGTCTTACAAACCTATGTAACGATGAAACTGATGAAAGAAAACATCACAAATTTCTAAGAAAGAAGTACTCAAAATCGTTCGTAACAAAGGATGATTTTCATTGAAGTCAAGTAATTTTTAAAACCATAAAATTTATTGAAGAGCAGTAGACAGATAGACAGTCAGACGGACGGATATTATCGGTGCATCCACACGAGCAAACATTAAACACATCCATGTGAACTAACAAACAAATACCCTAACACAAAAACACAGAGAAAGAAAAAGAGAAAGAGAGAGAGAGGGAGGGAGAGTGAGAGAGAGAGAAAGATAATCGAGTACATGAAGTACATGTGAAAAAAGTGTGATTCTATATAGAACATAGTGAAGAAGGCATGCTAATACAAATACAAATATGTCTCATGCAATTGAATGAACTAATCTAAATGACTACAATGAACCAATCCACGTGTCAGTGAAATTGTGAGATTTCCTCCTGAAAAACTTAATCAAATGCTGCCTCGTCTGCGAGTTTATGCGTATAACAATGTGTCTGTGAGTGTATGTGCATGTGTGTGCGTGCATGTTTGTGTCTGTTTGGATGCCTGCTTCTGTGTAAATGCAAAGAAAAGATGTTTTAATGGCTATATATAGAATTATTTACGCATTGATTGATAAAATTAGGTTAATAATAGCAAATAATTAAAAACAACTCAGGCACACACACACACACACAAGCAAACACACACACAAACAAACACACGCACACACACACAAGCAAACACACACACGCACACACAAGCTTTATGTACGGGAGATGGAACAATGCCATCCTAACTCTCGTCACACAATCAGCAGCAGCAGTAGACGTAATGTTTCATCACATCCGCAGGGAAATTAATGTCCAATGAAGGAGAGGGAGAGGATGAAGAGGAAGAAAAAGAAGATGAATATGAAGATGATGATGATGAGAATGGTGATGATGATGAAGAAGATGATGATATTTCCAGATCAAAAACGAAAGTGAAACTAAAAACAAAAAACTTCTTTCAGTAGATTTTTGAGAAGTTTCATGCGTATCCATACAGATATACATACATACATACATACATACATACATACATACAAACATACATACATACATACATACATACATACATACATACATACATACATACATACATATATACATACATACATACATACATACATACATGCAGTGTCACTCATCATGTTTTGGTTTTAACATACATACATACATACACACACACACTCACACACACACGCACACACAGCCACACACACACACACACACACACACACACATACATACATACATACACACATAGTTTTATTAATGCTATATTCGTCTGCAACATGAACCACTTAATTTGACGCCGTTGTCATGAAATTGCATTGTGATTTTGCATAATTGTTTGTACCGGCACATACATAGTTGCATTATTTACTGCTCTAGATGTTTATTGTTTTGTTTAATCGTTAGTGACAATTTTTTCCTGAAAGTAGCGACGCGGCACATTTGCGATCAGTCTGACATCTGGCGACTATACTTAAACATTTGATCGTCCATCCAAAACCTTCACGACGCAATCCTAGTAGTAAAGCGAGTAATTCAAGATACCTACCTCACTGAGAATAAAAATCGAGAGATCAGTTCTGTAAAAGGGGTGAAAATTATTTACCGATTATCGTTAATCGTCGACACTGAATAGAATTAACAATGAACGCTTGTTGCACCGAACTGGGTTTTTGATAGACCGAATCGTGTAAAACTGTCCATATCACAAAATATACATAAGTACTATTTAAAATAATCGTGAGAAGAGTTTATTACTATCATCAATCAAGCTTTTAATTATTGGCAGTATATTGTAAAATGTAAACGAATGAATAAATAAAACTAATAAGACAAAAATTTGTGATCGGTTAAGTAACCAGAGGTTTTAACTATCTGATTCAGCAAATTTTCTAGCGTGAAATTTAAAAAAACTAATATTTAGTTTGGACAGGAGAACTGGTCTTACTTGAGGAAGCATTGGAAGCTGCTGTTCCAGTTGCTTGACTTGTGGACAGAGGCATTGTAGCTTGTGGTGGAGGTAGGAAGCGTGTCGATGCAGATGATTTCGAGAGAGTTGAAGTGTTTTGCCACGAGGACTTTGCTGATTTGGTGGCGGGAAAGTTCGACAATACTCCAGTAAAGGTCTTTGAAGTGCTGTCTGGCTTGTCGCCTGTTGTTAAACGATGCACGAAAATAATTTTCTTACTAACAATCCCCTCAATCAATCATTTTACTGGGAGTAGATTACATTAAAAAACCCTACCTTAGAATTTATAAATACTTATATCTATATAGTAAATTGTGGAAATAAACCTCTTAAGATGAACTAGTACAGATTTCTAACTACAATAAAACACCTGGATAAAGCATAATAGAAAATTGTATCATTAAGAGGGTTGGTTTCACTGTTGATAATTCGACTAATTCATATGTTACTTGATTCAAATTTATAATAATTCGTCACAACAGATGAAGCAAACGAAAAGATAAAAAATGTGAGTGATACATTGCAGTACGTACCTCCAATGAGAGCCGGCCCGCCAAGCTTGAATGATACTATATGAATGTCATGCAAATGTTAAGTTAATAAGATATTCTTTATGTGCAACTACAATCTTGTCGATAATACTATAGAGTTTTTTATTTGTTTTACTATTTAACATTAATTATTATAATTATATTAATTAATGTTTGATAAAACTCAACTTTTAATAAAGGGGAATGATTGTATTTACAAAAATTTTCTAATTTCATCATTGTAATCTAAGTTGTTTTAAAATGGAATGATGGAATATTTTAAAATCTAATTCACCAAATTTCTTCTTCTGATATTGGCTGTCCCAATTGACTGGTTGCATTGATGTCATTTTAATTAAATTAAATATTCTATTAGATATTTTTTTAAATGTGTCAAGTAGGATAATTTGAAAATTTAAAATTATCAAAATATCAAAAAACTCTTGTTTTTGGATGCAATTAATCAGAAAATAAAAATAAAAACGATGCTAAGATCAATCTTGCTAGAAGTAAATTCTAAAAGGATAAAATCCTTAAGTATAAAACTAATAATTATTATTATATAATAAAATTACCAACGATAAAATAATAAGAGCTAATTCCGATGAATAATAAAAATAAATTAAAAAAATGGTTACATGGTTCTGAACCGGCGTTGCTGGCCCTCTCATGAGCCAATCTCTCGTTCAAATATCTAATCAGTTCTGTATATCAAAAAAGTGAAGGGGGGAAAAAACATAGCAAAGATACGTTTATTAGTTCAGAGAATTAATTTAACATATCGAATTGTTTACCTTTAGTTGTAGATTTAAAGAAAAATAGTTATACTTTTCATAATAATAATCATAACAACAACAACAATAATAATAATTATAATGGGAACAGATCTTTTATTTTTCATCAAATGCGTAAAATCAATAATTAATTAATTAATTAATTAATTAATTATTAGAGAAATAGTCATGATTAAAATAATAATAATAATAATTTTAGTGACCAATTTACTCTTTTTACTCCTCTTCTTGCTGATGCTGCGATAGGCGATGAGGACGATGACGAAAACGATTGTGAGGCTGGCCAGGAAACTCCCTGAGACCACAAAACCGGTGAACATGCTCTGGTCCATCGTCCCTCCAATCACTAAGGGAGGATTATTATTTATTTAGTTTATGCATTCAATTATTTATTTTTATTTTCGCGATAATTACAGACGAATTTAATTAAAGAAACATTTAGACATAGTCTTACAAGACTTTTGAAATTTTCTTCTATGTATAATTATGTAACGTTATGCTATGTTATCATGACGATACAATGATTAATTTAATGTTATAATGTTAGCCAACCTCAACCATTGCCAACAATGATTTTAATGTAACGAAACAAAACCATCAAACTCAATTTTCATCAAAGTCAAACAATTAATTTTAAAAGTTGTTAATGTTGCCAAAAATGTTGCTTAAATTCATTTTTCTAAAAAGCATTTTTTATGTTTACAGACGAATATTCTTAAAAATCTATCCACCCGGTTTAAATTAAAAAACCTTATTTCAAGAAAATTTCCACCAGATTTATTTTTACCAGAGATTGTTTAAACAGTTTTTAGTCTTTATTTATTTAAATTAATTTGGCGGGTGGTAATGGTGGATTCAGAAACCAAAAAATATTTTCTGTCATACGCAGTATATTAGTACGGTAGATAATTTGCAAAGTGAGGCGTTCATTCTTGCCCACCGCTCTGTACATTAGAAAGAAGGACAAACAGTCATTAATTAGAAGACATTCAGTGAAATTTTGATGTCGTTGTATTTTAATGGTACCATTCATTAAGATAAAATATATATTAATAATCGTTGGCAAATAAAAAAAGCGCTTTGGCAGCATTTAAAGAAAGTTTTAATAGAGGCCCACCTTTTGCCACAACATTTATCTTTCCATTCCATGAAAAGTTGCCACCATCATCACTGCCGTTGTTGTTCATGTTGGGCGGATTGGGTGCCGTGCAAGTGCACTTGTACAGGCCGGGTTCTTTAAACATTATCCTGTTGTTGTAGAGTCTGTAGAAAGTGTTCTTGTTGTGTTCACCAATCGGAATGGTGTTGTTTGCTCGTTCACACGTCTACTGTAGTTTGTAGGCTGACAGATACCAACTGAAGAAGCATGTCACCGGCTTCTTGCTCTCCAGGCTCACCACAGTTACGTCCACCCACACTTTTTCAGCTATTTACATTCGCATGTATTCGTTGAGGTGTTTAATAACATTTCTTGCTAATAAGACTTTTCTTTTTGTAAACATGTTTTTGAAATATTTGTAGAAACATTTAATGCAGGGCTTTGCTTGTCACCAACATCGTTGCGTTTCTCACCCGATCATTTTTAAAAACAACTACAATCTCGCTTTTTAATTTGAACATACAAATAAATAATTTCAAGTAGGCACATTTCCTAACACTCACACACGAATACAAGAACCTAACGATAACAAAATACAAACCACTAATACAGACGTATACAAAAATAAATTATAAATTAATTCCCAGGTATCGATCCTCAGATACATAAAACTAAATAAACATTAATTCACTTCAGACCTTTCTCATTCGGCTTGACGTTTTTATTTACGGGGGACAGTTCTGAAATGTTTGAGAGAGACGACATTAATAAATAAAGTGAGATTAAAGTTATGCGACAGAAATAAGACGATCAAATTCATTTAGTCGTGCCGCCACTAACTTTTTTATTAAATTTTGAATTTGTGGTTAATAATAATAATAATCTTTAGTAATTTTTATTATTTTAGTAACGCTGGGCGAAGTAATTGTAAAAATAGGAATGATGTTTCAAATAATGAGGATGAATTAAAGAACCTTGAGAAAAAAAATTCGAATTCGTAACTAAAAGACCGTACAATAGTCTGAAAATTACGTTGCACATTGCATTAAAATTATTTTTTTTTAAATTCGAGCAAATTTCAAAACAATTTTTTTGTTTGTTTTGGAGCGATTAGAAGTTTAAACAATAAACATGTTTACGTTGTAGAGAGAGAACTTTGACGCGTTATTTTTTGGCAGATTTTTATTAGAAATAAAATGTACCCCCATCGTTTTGTATTATTTGATCTTATTTTATAGCCCCTTGTATAGTTTAAATCATTATGATGGATTATTATTGTCAAAAAGTGATGACGACGATGATTGAAATGATGAGGACGATAGATGACTATGATGATAGATGACTATGACGATAGATGACTATAAAGTTGGTGATTGCATCGGTGACATACCATTTTTCACACATATATAATTACGGTAGAAACATTTAAAATCAAATGTTTTCTTGTTTCTCGTCAGATGTATGTGTGTTGCAGATTCGGATCATTTTCCTATAATTAATATTTTACACATGTGTACACACACACACACAAACAAACAAACACACCTTTGCTACAATTACAACACATTAAAAATAGGTTTATTTGATTTTTTATTGAATAATTTTTCAAATTACCATTCTTTTGAATAAAAAAGAAAGAAAGTTATTGCAAACACAAAAGCAAGCAAGATATGTCATCAATTGTTTGAGATGCAGCCAATCAAATCATGAGACGCGTGCACACCTGTATAAAGCTGCACGCTCATTGGCTCACCGAAACTACTTTGGCCAATCGCTGCGTAGATATTTTGATTGATTATTGATTTTAATGATTCAACGTAGAATTAATTTTTTCATTATTATTGATTGAATGATCAAAAATAATGCAATTGAGTTATTTTAAATTTTGTGTTCGTTTAGTTTATTTTTCAACATTAAACAAATTTTTTTGCTGGGACGTTTAATACAACAAAATCTAACAACGGCTGATAAAAATATTTAATTAATTAGTTAGTAATCCGTTGGTGTCCATCACTGGAGAAGATGTACGCCACAAAGAAAAGGAAGAAGAATGGAAGGTCTGTCAGGAAGTTTGATATTTCCTTAAATTAGTATTAATTAGTATTCATTGGTATTATTATTTATATAGCGCTTATCTCAAAAGTGTTTTTTTCCACTAAATTTAAATTGCCAAAAAATGTCAATTAATATTGTAATATTTGTTAACCAGAAACTAGAATGTTATTTAATTGATGTTGTGCTAGAGTTGTTTGAATATTCATCAAAAAATACGAACATTGTTTGTCCAGCAAAATGCTATGCTAATATTGCCATGGTTTATCTCCATTTGAAATGAAAAATTCGATTTTATTTGTAACTGAACTGGTTTTTATTTGTAAAAAAATCATCATCATCATCATCATCGTCATCATCGTCATCATCTTCAGTTTCAATTTTCATCAGCAGTCGGATAACAAAATTATCTGTTCTTCAATTGCTGAAACTTACTTCTTCATCATCCGTGCCATCATCTATTTATTATCATTGTCTTTATCATCTTATCTATTTATAGTTTTCAATCATCATAAACATCATCACCATCATCATCATCACAATTTATCATCAACGTCGTCGTCGTCGTGTTTTATCGTGATCATAACTTTCATTGTTTTGAGTACTGAAAGTCGTTTGCGGATAAATTTTTCATAATTTTAATCAAAATCATTATCATCAACATGAATTTACTAGTCATCATCATCATCACACGCAAACTTCATCATCATCATCATCACAAATTTCACCATCATCATCACAAATTTCACCATCATCATCACCATCACAATCCATCATAATCAAGAGCTTCATTAAACAAACGTGAGAACATGTATTGTGTCGTGTGCCTTCTTAAAAGTACAATGGCATATGTTTCTCTCTCTCTCTCTCTCTCTCTCTCATTCTCTTTCCCTCTCTTTCTCTTACTCTTTCTTTTTTTTCTTTCCACGAATGTGCGACTATCTTAATTGTGTGTCTGTATGTGAATGTTGTATGATATTGTATCTGTTTGTATGTATATGTATGTGTGTGTGTCTGTGCGTGCGTGCGTGTGTGTGTATGTGTGTGTTTGTCTGTGTACTTATGAGTTTGAGTGTATATGTATGTGAATGTGTTATTATATATGAACATGTATGCATTGGCAAGTGCATGTGTATGTGCAGTTTTTCGAATGCGTTTGTATACACGCAAGAAAGCTTATGTTTGTATGTTTCTCTGTGTATAAGTGTGTATGTGTGCAAAATGTACACAAATATGCATAATTCTATCCTGAATTATTTTTCTAAACGACATGCATATGTAAAATACAGCATAAAAATAACTTCATTGAAGGCCATAAGAAAGCTACAAAGTATGCAAAAAAGAGTATTCGTTGTTGCGTTATTTCGAACTGTTGCTTGTTTGTCACGTTGCATTGTTTTGTATTGTCGTTGATATGTAAAGTGTTGTTGTTGCTGTAGTTGCTGATGTTGTTGTTGTTGCTGCTGCTGTTGTTGTTGTTGCTGCTGTTGTTGTTGTTGTTGCTGCTGCTGTTGTTGTTGTTGTTGTTGCTGCTGCTGTTGTTGTTGTTGTTGCTGCTGCTGTTGTTGTTGTTGTTGCTGCTGCTGTTGTTGTTGTTGTTATTGTTGTTGTTGTTGTTGTTATTGTTGTTGTATAGACGCAGAAATTTTGTTGGCCTCAGCCTTAAGTGCCTGTCAACTGAAGTGTAATTTGCGCGTAACATTTGTCCGCTTACGTTCTAATAACGCCACCAATGTTGATGATGTCATTAACGTTGCTAACTTGGCTGACGTCCTTAATGCTATTAACGTCTTCAACGTTGTCAGCCTTATTAAAATAATGAAAGCTATAAAAATATCTATAAATGCAATTAACTTAACTAGCTTGAACTTATTTCTTACTATTTAAATGATTTGATGCCATTTGTAAAATAGATAAAAATATAATTAATTAATTAATTAATTAATTAAAATAACTTAACAGAGTAATAAATAAATAAACATATACGTGTAACAATTGTAAATCGCAACAATAAACAAATAAATAGATAGAAAGCATTGTTATTTTTTTTCTCACATAGTGTTGACAGATTCATTGTTTGGTGTGGTGTTGTGTGGTGTGGTGTGGTATTGTGGTGTGGTGTTGTGGTGTGGTATTGTGGTGTGGTGTTGTGTGGTGTTGTGTGGTATGATGTGGTGTAGTGTGGTGGGGTGTGTCTCTTCGGCCTGCAAGTTGTTCTGTTATTGTTATGTTTCAAGTCTTAACATAACACAAAATAAAAATCATCTAGTGAACTTCATTTAATACAAACACAGGAGTTTAAATTAAACGAAAATGCATTTTATTTAGGAGTCAGTTGGGAGCGTTTGACTGGAACGTTGCCGAAGTCACTTTGAACATGAACATCTTTTTTTATTCGCAACTTATAGAACTTGTTGCATGTTTATTTTATTATGTGAAATAACATAAGGCAAACAACAAAACATAAAACATGTAACATCACATGTAACGCACAACACAAAGTATAAATGGAAAAATAACATGTTACATAGCAGAACATAACATGATATAAAAGTTACATAATAAAGCATCCCATATGTAACCTGTACCACATGAGAAAGATACCTTCTAATAAGTAACATTGCAACGAGTAACATAACGAAACAGACAACAACAACAACAACACTTGAAGACAATAATTCCTATAAAGAAGATTTTTATTCTCACGGTAAGCAAAGCCAACCCTGCCAGATGTATCGTGTATGTGTGTATATATTTGTGCGTGTGTATGTATGTAGGTATTCATATGTGTATATAGAGGTGTGTGTGTGTGTGTGTGTACCTAGAATTTTTATGACATCTGTTGTTAGTTGGTTGATTGGTTGCTGGTTGGTTGGTTTACTGGTTTGTTACTGGTTGGCTGGTTGTTTGTTACAGTATTAAAGTTGCGATGTTCTTGTTCACAATGTTTTTTGTTTAATTGTAATGTAATATTATAATATTGTCTTACTAATCGACAAACACCACACACACACACACACACACACACACACCACACTCTTGCATATTTATACATACATACATACATACGCATACATACATACATATAACCAAACATTAAAATACATTAAACATCACCCCGATAACTATTATACAAGTATTACAACCAAAGCAACACAATAACAACAGCAACAGCAGGAAGCAGCTGATCACGCAAACAAATACTCTTAAGACAGTAAAAATGCTAGAAAGTGATGAACTGGCGTTAAATCAAACTCGTTGTTCAAAGTTGTATCAAATCAATTATTTTTCAACATTCCATTTTTTACATTGCCACTTAGTATTTTTTTAATTTTCCTCAAATTTCTATGCCAGCGTAAATTGTCAACTTAGTCCAAACTCAAATTATTATAATTTATAATCTGAAAATTTATCTGTTAAAGATATCATTGTCTTTTGCCAACAGCGAACCGTTGGTACAATAACTAAGAAGCTTCATCAGTTGGTGTAGTCAGGTATTGTTCTTAAAAGGAGTAACTAACTTCGACCTGTCTGACGACTCAATTTTAAATCAAAGTTCTTCAAAAATATGCAGTTATTTTTACATTATTAATGCTTACATAGACAAACTAGGTATCTAAATAATTTATATAGCATCCAAAAACAGTGTGTATTTTTATCTGTATCTGTATGTGTTATACTCCTATGAAAATACACACACACACACAACAAGATGCAATAAGTCATCGATGAAAGTAAGAAGAAACACACGCGTGCACACATACACGCATACATATAGACAGACATGAGCGAAGAACATGCACACACACACACACACACACACAGACATACTTAGAGATACATCTTGCATCATAAAGTGCGTACAAATAATCTTCAGTAAACTCACAAGCAGTACAAGCAAGCACATCGACACACACGCACAATTAATCACATGTGCATTTTTTTAATCGACTGACATCATCATGCACACACACACACACACACACACACACACACACACACACACATGCATAGACACGCATACATACTCAGACACACACAATAAGCACGTACGCTGTACCTTAAAATATATGTACATACAAAGTATGAAGTTTGTGTGTACGTACGTGCACGCATATGTGTACATATTTGTTCGTACGCATGTACATAAAAATGTCGCTTGTCGTCTGTGCGTGTGCGTGTGCGTGTGTGTGTGTGCGTGTGTGTGCGTGTGTGTATAGTGTACTCTCTCTTTTTCACTTTCTCAAACAATCGAGGCGTGGAAAGCATGACGAGCGTGGACTCACATCAGTGAGTTTATTGCTTCATTTGATGATGATGATGATGATGACGACGACGACGACGATGATGTTGATGATGATGACGATGATAAAAATTATATTTCTGTTGTTGTTGTTGTTAGTAAAGTTTCGTTGTTGATGTTCTGTCACTAATGTTTTGTCTGTGGATAAAATATTGTTGCTGATGTGATGTTGCTAATATTGTTGTTGTTGTTATCGTTGTTGTTGTTGTTATTATTATTATTGTTGTTGTTGTTGTTATTTAGTTTCATTGATGGCGTGATTGATGTTTCTGTTATTATTTCCAAAAACTATCACCTCAATTATTTTGTTAAATAACATCAAATGATGCTGATGTATGATAAGAAGGAATAATTACATGCTTCGAATTCATTTATGTAGCGCTTGATTAGAAATTTAATTCTACCCTTTGTTGATGTCACTTGAAAAGAGATCATATTGATAGCTGTAATGAGTTTGATCAATGCTAGTATTGCTACTGATGTCGTTGTTGAGTTGTTGATGTGGTTATTTTTGATGTTGTTGTTGTGTTGTAGTAGTAGTAGCAGCAATAGTTGTAATTGTAGTTGTTGCTGTGTTGTGGTAGTACTAGTAATAGCAGTAGTTGTAGTTTTAGTTGTTGTTGTAGTAGTAGTAGCAGCAGTAGTTGTAGTTGGTGTTAATGCAGCTACAGATTTTTTTTGTCGGCTTTGTTGTTGTTGTTGATATTGTGGGATTATTGTTTCTATAATTTTTTAGTGCGGTTTTATTTATTTATTTACTTATTTATTTTTTCATTGTTGTTGTTGTCGTGGCTTCAACTGGTTTCAACTGATTGGTTGTGAGTTTTGTTTATTGTTTTTATTTCAATTAGTAATCTGTTTCCGACTACGATGACGTGCTCGCGTTCCGTGTACAGCCTGCAAAATGTTGTCACGATGACGTCATACTGCTGTCAAATTTGACGTCTCGATCGCCGTAATTTTAATTTGATCGCCGCTGGTGGTACAGATGCGAAAACTCAACAGCACATCTTATCACTAATCAAATCAGAGAAAAGAAAAATATCAACATTTGCAAAAAATATAATTGAAATTATTTAACTTGGTTGCTATGACCCGCAAAATGGTGATAATAATTAAATAAATATAAATTATAGAAGAATAATAATTACATAAGAATTATAATACCAATACTGAGTATTTTTTATGAAAATTTGTAATAAATTTTTAAAGAATGAAAACGTTAACATGGTTAGCATGGTTCAATTTTTTTTAATTTTCTCAGCAGCAAAAAACAAGCAGCAGTTAAGAGTCAAAGGCAGGACCAGCGTTCCACGCAGCAACAACAACAACAGCAACAAAATCATAAACCTCAAAAAGTTCAACTTCCAACAACAACAACCGTCCCTTTAAAACCAGTACTCTCTCTCAAACAACCACAACAGCCGCCACTACCACAACTTCCACTACCATCTTCTACCAATCCCAGCAAACGCCACAGAGAACGTTTGAACTTTGAACTTGAACGCCTAGCCAACTTGCTACCATTCGAAAAATCCGTCATATCCAAATTGGACAAGCTGTCCATTCTAAGACTGGCGGTCAGTTATCTTAGGTCCAAGAATTATTTTCAATGTTAGTAGTTGACTGGTTGGTGGTTAGTTGGTTGGTTGGTTTGTTGTTGTATCAGTTGGTTGGTTGGTTAGTTAATTGGTTAGTTGGTTTGATTCGGTTAGTTGATTTACTTCATTCGTTCTTTCACTAATTTAGTTAATTCATTCGTTTGTTTATTCGTATGTTTAAACTGTATTGATTCATTAATTATTTTATTACTTTTTTCATGTATTCATTCATTCATTCATTCATTCATTCAATCAATCAAACATTTATTTTCACTTCCTGTTAGAAACAATCACAAGCTCACATTCACTTACACCAACACACAACTTAATCGTCCCAGTATGTCATTAAGTAGGTCATTAGACTAGATGATGATGATGGTGATGACGACGACGATGATGATGACAATGAAGAAGGTAATGTTAATGGTTGCAATATTATTACTGCAATACAACAATTGAACTCTGTTTTAATCCATACTTTTCTTCATAAAAAGATATATTATTTGTAATCTGTCTACTTATATCCATGTTAATTATTAATAAATGCTGACAGATATAACAAATTCCGACCAAAAAGACCAAAAAAACACAAAAATTCTCTCAGATACACATGTTGAAACACACCCAACACAAGCCGACAATTTCAGCCAGACACAGACACATTAACACACACACACACACATACATACATACATACATACATACATACATACATACATACATACATACATACATACATACATACATACATACATACATACATACATATCACACAGATAAATTAACACCCACACACGCACATACACACACACACAGACCCTCACAAAGACAGAAACGCAGACAGACAGATATATACAATTTAAATAACGATATCTCTAACGTGTCACTCTATCAATTGACAATAATATATGTAACCATTAGAAGCATATCAAAATCTGCAGCACTTGGTAGCACAAAAAAGTTCATGCTTTTGCCTTTGTATATGAGTATGTTTGTGTATATATAAAGATAAATATACAAACATATATGTGTGTGTATGCGTGTGTTTGTGTGGGTCTAACTATGTGTAGACGTATGTGTTTTCAATGTATGTTGATTTATTTGCGATACGTTCTTCCACTTTTTTCATCTTGTTGTATGTGTAGGATGTTTTTGCATTCTGTATTGAAATGTTGGAATGGTTGCATTTATTTGTTATTTTACAACAACCATCGTACTATCATTTTTACGTCATCATCATGTTATCATCACACACACACACACAAACACAACACACAACACACACAACACATCAGCGCAATATTGTGGTGGTCAACATGAGATGAACAAACAGATTTTCACAACTTCTTAATATCCGTGTCAACGTAACGGTACACCCGATCGAATGTTTTGGTAGGGGTGGTCGCAGTTATTGCTGCTGTTGCCGTTGTAGTTGTAGTTGTTGATTTTGTTTTTGTTTTACAATATGCTGTCTTTGTTGTTGTTTGTGTATCATCTGTTCTTATTTTGTTGGTGTGTTTTGATGTTTATATCTTTTAAATAAATGCAACTTGTAACATTCACAATCAATAATGTTGATGAAAATTCTTTCTCTCAATAACTTCTCTATACCTCATTAAAATCTTTCGCATTGCAACTCAGTTTTGTATGTTAATAAAAAAAACTGTGAATAGCGCTATAAAATGTTTTTTGTTGTATTACAAAAAAGCAAGTTATTTCGTTCTCCTTATTAGAAATATAACTTTTATCAAATAAACTGAAAAATCTTTTTTTACATAAAATCTGCAGCAATATTCTGTGAGTCGTCACCACACTACAACCACGGCAACTACAACTACAACGACCACCACAGCGTTCACAGCGGTCACCAGGTTATTTTCAACAGCATCCCATTCTACAAAGACAACAACATTCACAACAACATCAATGCTACACTATGCAATGGCGTCAACTACTTTATGACGAACGTGAACTTACAACCACAACAGCAACAACTGTTGCAACAACAACAATATACTAGCAACAATGCCTATAGACGAAATGCAACAAACAACACACGCAACAACATTAACAACGCGATGGTTAGCAACAGCAATATCGGCGTAAACGCAAACTTCAACGATAACCACCCTTACGCCAACATTAACGTACCATCACAGCAACAACACCACCAACAACAACTTTTTCAATACCAACAACAACAACACTACCAGCTCCAGCACCACATCCAACAGCAACAACAACAGCAACAGCAACAAAATTTTCCAGACCATCAAGATCTTATATTACAGGTATGTGTGCATGCTATCAAACTTAATTACACGTTACATTGTCTACCGTGTAACTTTTATGAAAGTCATTATGCTGATGCTACATGGAGGGTCTTTTAAACCAACCAAGATTTTTGCGGTTGTTTATTTAATGATGCTGATTTCAATTTCAATTTCAATTTGATATCCGTGGTGAAAAACCTCTTATTTAAAAAGATGTAGAAGAACCAAGGATACTGAAGTTCGTGCCACTCTTTCCGAAATAAAGTCAAACAAAGCGCCAGGTTCAGATGAGATAGTTGTTAAAGAAATTAATTGCTTTGATGAATTTGGCATTAAAAAAGTGGCAGAAATTTTGAATGAGATACATAACAGCGGCGAAATTCCTGAAGATTTATTCAGGTCAAAATATATTGAATTGCCTAAAAAACTTTAAGCAATCAAATGTGAACTACATGGAACAATCAGCTTGACGGGTCTTCTTGCAAAACTTCTCTTGAGAATTCTGATGATGAGAGTAAACAGCAAAAATCAGATTTGAAATTTCAAATGTTCAATGTAGTATAGTCGAGACTTGTGGCACAAGAAAGGCTATCTCTATGTTACGAATGAGCGGTGAACGAGCGATTGAAATGACGAAAGATTTTTTTATTGGTTATTGTCGATTATTCCAAAGAAGATTTCAATTTAAAATTTATTCAATTTAAAAGTTATTCAATTTAAAAGTTATTCAATTTAAAATTTATTCAATTTAAAAGTTATTCAATTTAAAAGTTATTCAATTTAAAATTTATTCAATTTAAAAGTTATTCAATTTAAAAGTTATTCAATTTAAAATTTATTCAATTTAAAAGTTATTCAATAACCGAAATGCCAAGCAGAAAAATGACATTGCAAGCATTATCAGTTTAATGTTGTTTTTGTATTTTTGACATATTTTTAGTTGAGTGTTCGATTTTTTGTTCGTTAAAAGTTCGTTCGTTTGTTCGTTCGTTAGTTTGTTTGTTCGTGTGTTTGCTCGTTTTAATCATTTAATATAAGTAATCAACAAAGTGTTTTCACAGTTAGAAAAATTGAATTTGCATTCAAAACGTTAGCATGAGTTAAATTTCGTTAAATTTTAGATTCAACATAAAACCTTAACTCGGATTTTATCAATTCAATAAATGTAATTTTTGTAATAAATGTGATAATTGTAGTTATTGTAACAAATGTGATCATTGTGATTGATGTCATCATTGTCAGTGTTGCTCTTTGAAACGGTAATTATAATTAATTGTCAGTCAGCAATCGATCACATCACAACGCAACACAAACGTCGTCGTTGTTGTTGTTGCTGCTGCTGTTGCTGCTGCTGTTGCTGCTACCACTGCTGCTATAGTTGTAGTTGTTGTGGTTGGTTGATGTGGCAAAGAACTTTCTTCTTTCTTTTAACCCGCAGAAGAAAAAAACACACGTATACCTCATACATACATGTACAATGACCATATGGATACCTACCAAGACACACATTTCAAACACATACAGACATTAACGCATACAAAAATAAACAAACAATCACCTATATATATACACGTACACACAAACATGCACAAACACATATATTATTTGTATCTTTTACATGTAGATAAATCAATTTTCTTTTTTTAATTTATTGATTTGTTTTTTTAGTAGGTTGGCATTTTGGCAATGAGATGAACGAATGTGGCAGAGAGACAACGATGAAAATGATCGTTTTGATACATTCGAGTATTCCAAATGGAATGTTTTGTATTGTTTGGTGATGTTTGTGTGTGTGTGTGCGTGTGTGCGTGTGCATGTGTGTATACGATGTTTGTATGTGATATACTTGCGTTCAATGTGCGTGTCATGTGTGTGATACATGCATACATGTGCGTGCATGCATTGTACACGCAGTATTCTTGTGTTTTGTGCAGTTTTTTGTATTGCTTATTAGCGGCAAATTTTCATTGGTCAAACCACTTGAAGATGTTTCGTGCACAAACAATTATAAAAGCCTTTGTGCGTTTGAGGTGTGTGTGTGTTTGTGTGCGTGTAAGTTTGTGTGTGTGTGTAGTTTAATGAAACATTAATAAAGTATACATCAATATATGATGTGACCTTTTGAACTTTTGAACTGCAAGTGAACCAACGTAGCAGGAGAGATCGATGTAGTTGGTATACTATTATGAAATTAATGTTGTTGCTATGTGCTAGTGTCTGTTGTTGAGTGTTGTTGTGTATTACGATGTGTTGTCGTGGGTGTGTTTATTGGTTATTGTTGTGCGTTTGATTTTTGCGGCAGTTATATTTTGTGTTGTTGGATTGTGTTCTCTTAGGACAGGAGTGGGAAAACTATACGGCGCGCGAGTCGTAGTTTATGCGCCCGCGAGGTCTTGTTCGCCAAAAAATGTCCTCAGCCAGGCATTATGACTGAAAAAAAGGAGCCACAAATCTTTAAAAATTCTCTCCGGGTCAAAAAAGTTTGCTATTTAAGTACATATGCGGCCCTTCAAAGGTAAGATAGTTCTCAATGCGGCCCTTCAAAGGTAAGATAGTTCTCAATGCGGCCCTTCAAAGGTAAGATAGTTCTCAATGCGGCCCTTCAAAGTTAAGATAGTTCTCAATGCGGCCCTTCAAAGGTAAGATAGTTCTCAATGCGGCCCTTCAAAGGTAAGATAGTTCTCAATGCGGCCCTTCAAAGGTAAGATAGTTCTCAATGCGGCCCTTCAAAGGTAAGATAGTTCTCAATGCGGCCCTTCAAAGGTAAGATAGTTCTCAATGCGGCCCTCACAACAAAAGTTTTCTCAGCCCTGTGTTAGTGCTGTTAATTTTTTTTATATGTTGGTTGTTTTATATTAACACATGCTAATGAATACCAAAATATGCACACATTAAAAAAACACTTCCTTTGCCAACATCTAAACAACATGCAGACGAGATTCTCAAACTCATATTTATAACTCTTGAATTTTGATTGATGATTTTAAGATTAGTATAAAATAATTAACAGCAGTAATAAAAAAATAAATTATCTCAAAGTGTTTCGTTTATTTTGGTGGCATATCAGTTAGAGGGAAGTATAATGACATTTTTCCAGAAGCACTGCAGACGCGCATACTGTAGGATGGTAGGTAGGTAGGTGGAGTTAGGGTGAGGACAAAAAAAATAATTCAGACACATTTTTAAAAGGTTATAATTAATGAACGATCCCAATCCATCCATCCGTCCGTCGAAGATAATAATGTACAACTCCTTCCACATTCCGACCTCTAGATCAATAAATTCTCACTCATAATGGAATATGATACATGTGTGCTTTCGTGTATTATATACATTTATATATTTATAAATATGCGTGTGTGTGCGTGCGCGCGTGTGCATGTGTAATTATGTTATATATATATATATATATATATATATATATATATATATATATATATATATATATTATAATTATATATATATGATAATTAGCATATTGTTGAACAAAATTCAGTCTGCACGCATATTTTGTGAGAGTTGTGTGTTCGTTATCGCTAAGTAGTTGTATAAATTCATCGAGTTTGCATGTCAGTGTGGCACGTGACTGAATGGGAATCCTTCCTTTGATTTATTGTTCCACATCTATTTTAAAGTTTTATTTCTTGCTAACTTCTTCAAGTATGAAAATAACATCAGCTGGTTTACCTGTAAATACGTACGCAGGCTATTCAATGGATGAAGGCACAAGTGGTAAACAAACTCATGGACATATTTATTCATATGCATACACATGCACCATATACTGAAATAAAGAGAATAAGTTTTTTCCTGCATTGCAATTATTATCATTTTAATTATTATTATTTGATTGGTTCTCTAACTAATTCTAATTATTATTATTTGATTGGTCCTCTAACTAATTCTAACTATTATTATTATTTGATTGGTTCTCTAACTAATCCTTATTATTATTATTATTATTATTATTATTTGATTGGTCACCCGACTACCATACCACAACCACCCTGCATCAACCTGAGGACGTTCGTTGGTCAAGGTAGAATCCTCGTGGACACTTATTTGGTTGAGTTAATGGCCTCCCTCCTTTTCATGTCAATATATCTCTCTCTCTCTCTCTCTCTCTCTCTCTCTCTCTCTCTCTCTCTCTCTCTTTATTCTTTCTCTCTTTTTTTATTCCCATTCTCTCTCTTTGGTGCAATGCACTTCAACACGCTACAAGTCTTTCAATTGGGATTCCTCAAATGAATATTATGTATAAATACATGAATAAGTAAATAAACATCAAACATCATACCTGGGATTCTATACAACATCACAGTTTTCGTTATCGACACCATCATCATCACCATCATCATCATCGTCATCATCATCATAATTACCGTCATCATCATCATCATTATCATCATCGTCGTCGCCATTATTTTTTATAATTAGTACAACAATAGTGAGCTTTCTGTTTACACTTTCCATTCAAATCTGTTGGAATAACAATGAAAGAAAATAAAAAACTTTTTATCAGTCTGTGTCGGTCTGTGATGTGGTGTGTTGTGTTGTTGTGGGGCATTTATATATGCAGGCGTGTGTGTGTGTGCGCGCGTGCGTTTGTGTGTGTACGTGTGTGTGTATGTGTGTGTATGAATGTGCGTATGTGTGTGTATGTGGTTTCTGCGGTTTGTTAATGTCGGTCTGTCTGTCTTTGTATGTTTATGTGTATCTTTGTTTGTTTGTATGTGTGTTACTTTGCTCGTCTGTATATATACTCGCTGAATTCTCAAAATGCTTCCAAATGTAGTCAATGGTGTTGTTGTTCTTATGACATGTTTTTAACGGTAATAAATTGACCACGTACCCTAGAACCAAAACAACACTCTTTATATACTTTGCTGAAATTATTACAGCACGATGAAAGTGCCAACTGAGATGAATTTATTAATCTGATTAGCCAGACAAAAATTAATGCTAGATGCTTTAATATTGTATCACCTCTATAAACTATCTTGATATACTTTTCTGGTATAGTATCCTGATATAATATCCTGATATATCATCACTACTTTGTATGGAAGACAACGCGTGGAAACGTGTGTATGTGTGGAGTTGAGTGTCACCCATCTCATTTGTCATCAGTCACTCAATTATCCATTGTGTGCTAGAGATACTCAATGATCAATTGTATGCCTTCAAATAAGTTATAATTGGATAGCACACACAACTGCACAAGCACACTCACTCTCATCAACACATATTCAGTCATTCATTTGTTTGTTTGTTCGTTCGTTCGTTCGTTCTTTCTTTTTGTTCGTTCATTTGTTCATTTGTTTATTTACTTGGTTATACTCGATGATCAGTTTGTGTCATTAGCGCTTTCTTGTTTGAATTTTTATTTTTTTCATTTGTCCATTCATTCTTAATTATTTATTTATTTTAATTTGCTCATTCATTCATTCATTCATTCACTTGTTTATCTTTCCATTTATTGATATTGATCTTTTATTTCAGTTCTGTGTTATATACACATGTGTGTGTGTTAAAGTGTGCGCGCAATGTGTGTTTGTTTGTGTGTTT